GTGTTATATTTTGTGATTAAAAACTATATGTGGCACCCTGAACATCATTCATCAGTCATTCATTGGTATAATATGTACGGTTGCATTGGTGTTATTTATGTTATTTATGTCAAGCGCATCAAATTTGTACTGCAGTAGGTGTGTGAATGATCAACAATCAATATATTGGCAGAAACAGAAGGCCCCCAAATCAAATTTTGCTTAGGGCCCCATTGAGGCTTGGGCTGGTACCTACAATCACTCTGGCTATGGTTTGAAAAAAAAACTTACACTGTGGTTACCAAATGTTACTAATCCAGGGAATTAGCAGAAAGCTTTAATGGACATTCTGAGTGGGGATGGCCTGGTTGGTTTGGCTCAGAAATGAGGCAAAAATCCAAGCTGTGAATCAAGTGAATTTATTTTCAGTGAAGGAAAACCCATGAGCTGTTTGAGCCTGAAAGAAAAAGAGAAAAAATAAGAAATGCCAAAAGAAAGCGTCTACCAAAGTCAAGGAAAAAGCTCAGCACAATCTTCAACCGTCAACAACAATGGAAGAAGGATATATGAAAAGTTTCATTACATAATGCCCATGTTTCTCAAACTTTAACTCCCCAGAAAGACAAAAACTTTGAGTTTTTGTGTTTGGGCTGTGTTTAGTTTCACAAGCCACCACATGCCACTCTGTTTTCTTTCAATCTTTTCAGCACAAACTATGAAAAACTCCAGAGCTTCATGAGGCATCACCCGCCCAACTCTACTTTTAACCAAAGTCAGGGACAAGTTAGGGCGATGTCTCTCAGACTCTCTTACCTACAAGTCAGGGAAGAGGAATTTAAAATCAGCAGAGTCACCTTAGCCTCCTCTGTGGTCTGTGAATACATATGGACAAATCCAAGGACATGTATGTAAAGTCAACACACCCCTCCAGTTCATTCATACATGGCGCCTTCCACTTAGCATGCCTCTTTATAAGCCAATGGCACACTCCTCGTCTGTTTGGCAGTTCCTGGTTTAGACAGTGGAGTTCAAGCATGGCAGCAGTGTACAGGTAACAAACAAAGCAACATTTAACATGTTCAACAAAGAACAAAATGTATCATGTGAAGAAATAATCCATGTACAGCTTGTTTCATTTACTTTAAGTGTAGTCTTTCTACATTCAGATATGTCTGTATTTTGTCGAAGGCCTTCACACACAGCAGAAACATGCCACACTGATTTTGTTCCAAATCTCACAGCTCTGAAAACTTGACGCTCAATCTCTGCTAAACTCTTAAAACATAATTTCACTTGTCTCTCTAATATTTTAAATCACAGTTTTGCACATTTCTAAGCCCAAACTGCACCCTTTAGCACACTCTGTTCACTTGGAAGCACAGGCCTTCAACATACAACCGATTAGTCTGACCCCTGTGGCCTCTGTGCAAACTCAATTGGAAGAATGACCATTTGTGTGAGTGTAAAAGAGGCCTCAGTGACTTTGACATCCATGTAGAATGAATGGCAGGAACATTTTAGCCATGGTAGGTGAGTTTGGCTCAGGAAGAACATGTCAGCTGGTGTGAAAGTGGGCCTGCATCCTGACCAGGGTTAGCAGTTGAGTTCAGACTGATCCGTCTTGTTGCATTTTCTCCTGAACACAATGTAAATAACAAATGTTACTTTTCTTATTTTTAAGTATCTGTGCACTGATTTTCTTGTGCTGTGTTTCATTTTGCAAGAGATTTGACTTAGTGGTTGATTGTTTTCAGTTTGGGGTTTTGAGACTCTGAGCCACAGTTTCTGGAAAGTTCTTGGGGAAACTGTAAAGCTCTGAAAGTATGCTGATCTGCATTATTCTCTGTAAATGTAGAGTTGGGGTAACTACAGTTGTCAAGCAGGCTGCACAGGTTTGATTCCACCCTGCAGGCCTTTTCCTGTTCACCCTCCCCATTTGCTTTCTTAGTTTCCCGCTCTAGCCACTATACTACATGTGAAAAATGTGAAAATATATCATTAAAAAAGGAGAAAAATGGACTTTAATTCAAATTGAGCAAAGAGATGCAATTAACTGTTTGATTTCCACTCTTAAAAGGCCATTATCAGATGCAGGTTTCTGTCTGAACCCTTCATTCTGAAAACAGAGGTGGATTTATCATCTGAATTAGTTGTACCCTCTGTTTACATCTGCAGAACATGCACATTTTAGATCCATTTTTTTTTCCCATCCAAGTGCATTTGTTCCTCCATTTGCAATTGCTCCAAACCCTGACAGCTTCCTTTCTGTCTCTGCTGAGGTAACAGCGCCCTCTACCTGATTTTACTTATATTACTCTCCAGCAGTTCTGAAGGTGTTAGCTGTGAAATCAAACTGCTGCCTCAGTTTGCAAGCAAAAGGTACTGTAGAGACCCCTGAAGGCTGTAACTATGATCATGTCTGTCATTGCAGCTCTCCTGTGCTGGTTGTTCATCTTTGCAGAAATACTGCAGTTTGCACCTGTTGTACCTGTGTGGGCAGTTTACTCTTGCAAATGATGGTTTAATTTGTGAGGGGCATTGGGTTTATTCAGGAGCATATATTGAATTTAATTCTGTGGTGTTGCAGTTCTGTCTGTGATGGAGGGGCTGAGCCACACGCTCACACGCAATGATAGGAATCATTTATGGCTACCTGTCATTTCCTGCTGAGTCACTGGCTTCCTGCAGCTTTAATGGGCTCCTTTTGTACCAAAGATGGGCAGAATGGTCGGTTAGTCCGGATACAACTTCGGCTTCTTTCATCTTCCTCTCTCTCTGAAACACATTTGTCTTCCTTGATGAACTCAACTGTTACTCTGTTAATTGTCCATAAAGTGTATCCACCTTTTAGTGAAGCAGAGAGGCAGGGAGGGGGGAGTTAGCATGAATATATATACAGTATATATGGTGTGGTCGTGTATTTTCATTGGTGCTCTGTGGCGTTAAATCATAATATCTGGCTGAATGGGTGACCTTGGGGTTGACACACAGCCTACATGATAGTTTTATGTTATATTTGTATAGTAATGCACAACAGAGCCTTAAATAAAACTCTCCAAAGCATGACATTTGTAATCAAAATCTCCAAATATTAGCCTTTCACCTGGAAGGAGATAGAATCCGCTACAAGCTATGTGAGACTGCATGAGTTGAAGCTGTGTATCCGATTAGCTGAGGATTAATTAATTAACGACACGAGAGCCGTTAGTGTTTGAATGTAGTTTGCTTTCTTGATGATCAGCATCTACTCAGGTTTTCTGGAGGCGTAAAGGTGTCTGAGCACCCCCTAGTGTCTGTCTGTCTGTCTGTCTGTCTATCTGTCTGTCTGTGTAATATTAGGTCATCTTACGCACATGCATAATTCACATTAGTCAAGTATTTGAGATAAAACGTGCTATAATCATGATCTAAAACTTCTTAGAATGAAAGAAAGGTGTCTAAGATGTTTGGATGTATTCCACCTTAAATAGCCCCTGTATGCACTTTGTTTAATACACTTGCATGTGCACTAAATCACAGAGAAGGCAGGTAATGAAAATTCAGCTGAAGGCTGACAGGGCTATTACTTTCATGCTGTGATGATATATGTTGAGTAAAGACAGAATGAAGTCTGTCCTAAAGATTTAAACACATTCAAACAGACACAAACATGATTCTTACAACTAAAATGTGTTAAAATGTTAAATTTTTTTTACTCAACCTAAAGTTAATTTCAAAGGACGTCAGTAAGGTGATTTAGCGTGACTTGGCAGTGTCTGTATTTCACATGTTTTGGGCTGTTTTCCAAGCTGTCAGTGTAAACAGAAGCACCGAGGCGTGTTGGGTGGTGTTAAAAAAAAAAAGAAGGGTGGTGAGGGCTGCAGTCTTGAGGGTGGCTGTTCTCTCCTTCGTATGGGGCGTGGTCCCTCTCATGGCTTCAGCCTGGATCAGCACCAAGGCCAGCGACAGTCCTACGCAGCACTGACACTTCACATAAGCCACAGAAAACGTGTGGTAATGAATCTCTCTGTCTCAGATGCATGTCAGACATAAACTTAGACTCCTTTTAGTTTCGTGTGCACCACCTTTGCTTCACCTGTATCTTAGTGTAAATTAAAGGAATCAATAAAAGAAACAGATTTTTAAATGTTGAACTAGTTTACGCATAATATTCCTCAGATCTACATAACATAACTGTGCTGTGATGCAAACTGACCGCACTTCTCTAACTTACTTTTCACTCGTCAATCACTTGCGCGTTTACGCAGCGTGGCTACAGATGAGACTGATGATAATGATGAGGGTGATGATGATGAGGATGAGGATGATGATATATGGGTGCAAGAATGAGGCGGCTTGTAATGAGTCTCATCCTGTATTCCGATATTGCGGAGGTCGGGGGGGGATGAGTGCGGCTGGATGCAGACTGCAGCACCAAAACACACTCTGGCGCACAGCTCTATACATCGATCCCATTTGGCATTCTGCTGGGACAGCAAAGAAAAACTGCAATGACAGTGGACAGCATGGGCTGAGGTAACATGAGACAGTCCTGTGGGAGAACATGTGCTGCTGGAATGAGATTACTCCTCTGATTTTATGATGAAGTGGTACTATATGCATTACACCATTAAGATAGTTAAAGTGATTAGACTTACAAGCTCTAGGTCAACCAATCTGCCACATAGCCCTGTTAGAAAACGTGCCCTTTCAGAGCTGCTGTGTGTTGATGCTTGAACTACAAGGCAGAGACGAGGAGCTGCATGAGTGAATTCGTGTTTCCCTAGAGGGCGGAGGCTTTCTGCAAAAGCTTGCAGGTTTCCCCTCATCTTCTGTCGCCCCTGCGTCAAATGATGCGCTGCGCCGTCACTATAAAAGCACCTGTCCTGGCCAGACTTCACTCGCATCTCACTTTCTCTCTCTCTCTGTCACACACACTCACCCTCACACTCTCCTAAACTCCACGCACACACTCTCTCTCTCTTTCTCTCTATCTCTCTCTCTCCCGTACAGAGCAGCAGGACCGGTCCCACCAAGGAATCATGAGTTACTCCAGCGACATTTACAGCAGCAGCTCCTATAGGAAGATCTTCGGAGATGCCCCCCGGTCCGGACGCACGGGTCTGGGCAGCAGCAGCAGCCCATCCCGCCTGCACTCTGCGGGATATCGCCGCACCTACGGTTCCCCCTCCGTGATGTCCTCCGCCACCTTCCGCAGGTCAACGGCGCCCGGCCGCGTCTTCTCCTCCATGCCGGAATCCATGATGGACCTGACCCAGTCCACCGCGGTCACCAACGAGCTCAAGATCATCCGCACCAACGAGAAGGAGCAGCTGCAGGGCCTCAACGACCGCTTCGTGTCCTTCATTGAGAAAGTGCACAACTTGGAGCAGCAGAATAAAGTCCTGGAGGCGGAGGTCACGCTGCTGCGCCAGCGCCACAACGAGCCCTCTCGCCTGCACGAGCTGTACGAGCAGGAGATCCGCGAGCTCCGGGCGCGTGTGGAAGAGCTGACGCACGAGAAGAGCCAGATGGACCTGGGCTTCGTGCAGATGAACGAGACGCTGGACCGCGTGCGGGAGAAGCTGGACGAGGAGACCAGGCTGCGCGAGGAGGCGGAGAACACCCTGAAGGGCTACCGGAAAGACGTGGACGACGCCACCCTGGCGCGCCTGGAACTGGAGAAGAAAGTTGAGTCGCTGCTGGACGAGATCGCCTTCCTCAGGAAAGTTCATGAAGAGGAGCTGCTGGAGCTTCAGGCGTCTCTGCAGGCCACGCAGGTACTTCTGAGGATTGATTCACAGGTGGTGCTGTCACTTGTCTGATCGATTATCAGACACTAGTTGGAATGTCGCTCTAGCATTAATCCATCCTTGTGTCCTTAAAGGTCCTTATTGAGCCCCGATACGATTTGACCGTAAACCGATATTTTATCGGACTGAGCTGAGTGTCAACCTTCATAGGAGGTTGTCCGGATAAAAGTATCGGCTGCTCATTTATCGGTATAGTTAGAGGCTTTAGGGGGCATCACTTCTGTTTATTCAGACTCAGTACACTGTTTTTGCACTTTTCCTCCGTTAAATCAGAAAGTTAAAGACAAACATTCTGGCTGTGATGAATAAGAAAGTTTTCCTAATAGCAAAATAACAATAATAATAATACATTTTATTTATAACGCGCTTTTACAGGGGCTCAAAGACGCCTTACAAAGAAAGAAATATATAAAAAACACTTTAAAATACAGAAATTTTTGAGAAATAAAACCAACAAAGCAAAAGGTTAAAAAAGACATAATAGTAAAATACTCTTCTTCGTGTTCTGATAACTGCGCAGCTGGGTAATTGATGGCACTGCAGTTCCGTTTCAGCACCATTCGCTCTCCCTCCTCCTCCTCCTCCTTCCAATATAAATTTTTGGGTCTCGCGCGTCCCTGCGGTGTCCCGCGAGCGCTGTCACGCCCCCCGTTTGAACTTTCAAACGATAAGACTCCGAGAGTGACTCATTTTCTGTTCTGGTCTATCGTTAATAGGGTTTAAAACGTTATAGAGTATTAAAAATCATGAGGCGTCTTTGCAAACATACACTGTGGTCTAACAAGGTCATGAAACATTTGCGCATTTTTTCGGTGGCATAATGGCGCCGTTTTCGTCAAAGGAGGTGAGGAAATGATGCAGAGGGGGGAGGAAGGGTGAGGAAGATGCGGTGAAGTATCGCAGGATCCAGGGGTGTGGTCGTCCCAAGAGGCAGCAGCCAGTGTCAACCCTGTGAAGCACCCCAGACATCAACTACACAAACATTGACAAAAATCATCAATAATGTCGATTCCTGCACCTATAACACGTCTCTGAGACAATCTGAGTTATTGTGTGTGTGAAACAGAAACAAGGTGTAACTTTTTGCTGATTTAAGACGGTCTAGTGAAAGTAATTTAACTCAAAAAAATGTGTTTCAGCAACTATTTACTGCAACTTTGAGCTGAAATCAATGTATGGATATGCAGCAGCAGTGTGGCTATAAGCCTCGCAGAGGGCTGATGGTTGCTGGGTAGGATTCTCCAGGGTTTCTCTTCTTCTCCGCAGGGAATATTATTGCCATGTAAGCTATTGACAGCACAGCTTCCCCCCCAGCAGAGAGGCCTGAGTCAGCAGTCGATTCATCAGTCCACCTCACCGGGCTGCAAGTCAGCTCATAAACACAGCACTCATCTTATATGTATATGTCAGTGTGAGTAATGGGGAAAAGTGCAGAGTTGGAAAAGGCATTTATTTGTCGTAAAGTAGTGGATTTAAACTCTACAATCTGAGTTTTTGCATAAAGTGAGCACAAAAGAATCGATTCTGACATTAAAGCTGATTTTGATCAGAATTGGCAGGATCTGGATTTTTGTTTTGTTGCAGAGTTTCAAGATTTTAAGTCATAAAAAAGGACAAATGACCTTTCTCCTCTTTGATTTGTCTGTTTTAAACTTTTATGTCTGTGGTTTGTAAAAAGCTAAATATAATTTCTCAATATCTACCTTTTCTCCCTTCAGGTGTCTGTGGAGATGGACCTGAGCAAACCGGACCTGACCGCAGCTTTGAAGGACATCAGGGCTCAGTATGAGAACCTGTCGGCCAGGAACCAATCTCAGGCAGAGGAATGGTACCGCTCCAAGTTCGCCACCGTGACCGAGGCGGCTGCTCGTAACCAGGATGCCATCAAGCATTCCAAAGAAGAGCTGAGCGAGTACCGCAGACAGGTGCAGGCTCGCACTCTGGAGATCGAGGCCCTCAGGGGTCACAACGAGGCTCTGGAGAGGCAGATTGCTGAGATGGAAGATCGTCATAACCATGAAATCGGCGAGATGCAGGTACGTAAACAGTAGAAGGAGGTGAGTATTTGCCATGTTTCCTGATTTAATGGCGTCTGAGCAACATATATATCTCCTGAAAGATTGTATGTATACATATATTTGTGTGTGTGTGTGTGTACAGGAAACCATCCAGCAGCTGGAGGCTGCTCTGCGCAGCACCAAAGGAGAAATGTCCCGCCACCTGCGTGAGTACCAGGACCTGCTGAACGTCAAGATGGCGCTGGACATTGAGATCGCTGCTTACAGGTGGGTCCCAGAAAGAGAAATTTAACCTAAACAAAGTCAACACAACTGACCTCATCCCTATTCATGTGGAACCCGTTGCACATATAAGCATGCAGCAATTGATGAAATAATAAGACAAAGATATTACTCAGGGGAAAAAAATAATTTTAGGATAGACAACAAGATCCAAATCATTAACACTTACTAAGGAACATTTTCAAAAAATGAGTCATTTCTAGTTAAAACCAGATAAAAAAAGGTTGACCTTGAGTTTTAAAAACACTTATAGAGCTTAACATTTTTATATCCAGATGAAGAGAGTACATAAAAGGACAAAAACCTGGTCGGTGATTGTAAGGGACACGTGAGGAGCATTCATAGGAAAAGCTTTTTAGGACCTAAATTCACCGACTGGAACATATAATAGCAGATGTTGGTTGATGTTTGGAGAAACAGGGTTGTGAAGCGCTTTGAAAACAATCAAAAATGAAGTGCAGAGCTTTAAGAAGTGAGGTGATAAAGTCCATCCAGTTTTTACATGTCAATTTTCAGGCAGCAGCTTTTAAACCAGCTGTAGTTTATTGAAAAGGTAAACCATTAAACAGAAGCATGAATTAAAATCTTTCTGGGATAGAAAAAGGCTGATTTCAGTAAGTTTCTGAGAAGTAGTAGAAGTAGAAGTACTTTGACCTCAGAGTCTGAAATCACTGTTAGGTTTGTCACACGATGAGGCGATGAAGATGGTGTGAGGTAATGTGTCCAAGTGGATTAAAGTAGGTCCAAGAACGCTTCCTTGAGGAACTCCATAACTAAAACCATGCATCTCTGACAAACAAGAACCCAGGCTGATCAAACTCTGTTAGGGTTAGTTGATCAAATTAACAACATGTTACACAGAGTAGAAGCAAAGTGGAAGTCTGGTGATTGTGATGTACAAAAGGTGTAATTTGCCAACTTTAAACTCATAAAACATCATTCTTTTCAAGATTTTCTCTTTTGTCCTGTCTTCAAAAATTAGACTTTGCACCCATGACCATTTTTAAGTCGTATATTGATGTAAAAGATGCTAACTTTTCCTGTTTACCCCTTTAAACTGTATCTTTTCAGCCCTACTAGGACAGGTGTTGAAATAACTTTACTAAAACTAATCCGCTGTGATAATATTGTGGGCGGATGTACAGACAGCAGATGTGTTCCTGCTGATGCTCCTGTGACATTAGATCCCTCAGGAGAGCTACACTGAGATAATAATAGTATCAGGACCAGACTAGAGGTGAGATCATCCCCGATCCTCCGTCTGTCCCTGCAGGAAGCTGCTGGAAGGTGAGGAGTGTCGTCTCAGCACCGTTGGCGGAGCCATGGTCCAGTCCGGCTACCCCGGCTTCTCCTACATGTCGGCTCGCACCTACACCCTCGGCGCCTACAGGAGGTCCGGAGCCAAGCCTGAGGAGGAGGAAGGAGAGGAGGAAGAGGAGGAGGGAGAGGAGAACGAGGAGGAAGGAGAGGAGGGAGAAGAGGGAGAGGAGGGAGAGGAGGGAGATGACCAGGAAGAGGGTGAGGGTGAGGATGAGGAGGAGGAAGAGGAGGAGGAAGAGAAGGGGAAAGGAAAGGAGAAAGAAAAGGAGAAGGAGAAGAAGAAGGAGACCTCCGGCGGCAAGAACAGCAAGAGTTAAACAGCTTTACATCGATGTCATAATCATCTTCATCATTACCAGTTACACATTCTTCATCCCATCAGTCACTTCTGTGGATCTGGTCACATCATCTCTGTCACACACACACACTCGAACACACACACTCTGCACACTCCAGATGCCTCACACCTTCTGTGTTTTTCTGTCTCTGTTAGCTCTGTAACTCAGACGTGATTAGTACAAACTTTATTAGACGGGAAAGAGAAGATGGAAATGGATGAGGAGAGGAGAGGAAGAGGAGTTCAAATGATCTGTATCTTCTGTAACTGAAAGTTAGCGGCGTGTCACAAAGTTTCCATAGATTTTTCCTCATCTGAGCAACAGTGAATGTGCCATCAACGACCAATATTTACATAAAGAGCAATCAAAACCTTGAAAGTAACAATACGATCAGCACACAAACTCGACGAGAAACGCACAGATTTTGGAGCATGAGTAACAGCCAGTCCAACTTTTACGGTGCTATTTGATTTTTACATATAAAAGTTGGGGAGAAGTGCAAAAGGAGTTAAAGATTTTATCATAGACGAATCTCCACCAGCTCATTCCTGAACGCGGGAAAAACTGCTTCTATTCGAACTCTTGAGTCCGCAGCAGGCGAATGCTTTCCACGCCCCCCTTTCTGTTTTCTCTCTCCACTCAGTGCCGCACCCTCATCCCACCACGACAAAATGAAATGTACCACTCGAGTCCTTCTCCTCCATCCTCTTCAACTCACTGCACTGTCACAGCACGGCAATAATGGCAACTCAGAGCTCTGAAACAATGTATATACAAATGTGTGAGAGGGGTGGGTGGTGTTTTCTGCTGCTTGAGAGAAGGAGTGCTGTGGCTTCTCCATGAGGAAGTGCATCTTTGAGAATGAAAAAAGTATAGTTTAAACTCTCGCTATATGTCATTTTTTCGGGGAAACTGATCCCCTCCCCTTTGATTGATTCATTTGTCAATTCGATTATATGATAAGTTTAATATTAATCCACCTTTCCTTTCTCTTCTTCTGGACGTGGCGGTGCTTTTGTTCAGTTTGGCTGTGTAAAGGAAACAAGACGAGGGTGAGCGCGGGCTGTCGCTGTCAGGCAGCTGATGATGACACTGACGGCCCTCAGCTCAGACTGTAGGTGGCAGGTGGGGCCACAAGGGTCATGGCTATATGGTACAGAGTTGCATATAAGGGCTATTTTTTTTCATAACCTCCTTTATCACTTTGCTCCTGATAGTTTTCTGCCCCCTGCCGATAATCATTTCACCCCTGAGCTTTCCTTTCCGACAAATGAATCAACCATCGGGCATGATTGCATGGCCTGACTCTTGGAGCTTGAATATCTGCTGGATGGGATAGATTTTTGCTTGTTGTGTGTTAAATTAAAAAAAAAAAAAGAAAAAACTTGCCTTAACCATGACTGAAAGTTAAAATAAAACATGTTCTCACCTGCATCTCACTTGTTTCTGTGGAGACTGAGGAGTACTGACACCTTTTCAGACCTCTGCTTTACAACTGTGACTGTATGTGCTGCTATCTCATGCAGTGATATTTCCTCTCAAAGCCAAATAAAGACATTTATTAACCAAAATTTCCCCCTATCTGTGTGTCCTCAATGTGACGAAATAGACCTGAAACTTGTAAAAGAAAAAAACATAATCTACTACTTTATATGCAAATGATCGGGAAAATAAAGCCTATTTTCAATGATTAATACTTGTAAACACTTTTAAACTTGTCACGAGAAAAATATAGCTTGAGTTCAATCAAAATCAATCAATAGTCTGTACAAATAGAAATATTTAAAGATATTGAGCCGACAGAATCTAGACTGAAATGCTCTCTTGCTCACCTCTCCTGCATGTGAAACAACGGAAACATTTTTCAAGATTTTATCATCAAAAATCAATCCAAATCCTTTCCCTCACAATCACAACCGATCTCCTCCTCTTTATCACTTACCAACAGGCGCACTGCAAATACAAAAACATATATATTATACTTTGTTCATCCTGTGCTAATGTAGAAATGTAAATGCAAGATGATGTCCTCTTTGGAAGGGGACCCACACCTATGGCGATAAAAAAACACTCATTAAAAGAATACATATTATTTACATTTAGGTGATTTTGCTCAAATGTAAACACACTTGTAATTAATATATCCCTTTTCTGCAAAGTCTGTTCTGCTAAATGCGTCTTTTATTGTTTATTTATTTCAGTAAACTAAAAGCAGAGTTAATTTAATGCCAGTGCTCGGTTAGAAGTATTTACTCTTTGCAAGAAGTTTTCCAGTATTTTTAAGTAAAATTTACCCCAGAACTTGTAATGATTAAGAGACCTCCGTTTTGGTCTCTTAAGCAGCCAGATGCGTAGTGAAACCATTAGTCTGAAAGTCCACCATTAACATCCAATTAAACACTAATGTGTGTTTAATTGTGTGAATACAAACACCATCAAGCATTGAAAGAAGATGAGTCTTCTTCACAATCACACGACCAAAACTTCTTTGGAGAAAATGTCAAAACTCAAATCACTCTGCGGAGAGGAGCAGAGTCTTTTTGACAAACAAATCGAACTTCCTTTTTCTTCTTACCATCTCTATATATATATGTTTACTTTTTTCTGAGCCTATAAGACTACATCCTCAAAAGTGTCCCTGAACCTTTCAATAATAAAAAAAATCACCATATTGTAGTTAAACTCAGGTGACGAGCGTTGACTTACAACATTTCAACAACTTGCATCATGCACAGTCCTCAGTGACTGAAACTTCTTACACAGCGACTATATTTATCCACACTTCTGCCTCCTTTTCATCTGAGTTTTGGTCTATGACTAAACCTTTAAAACTTCTCTCAGTGATTGCATTTCATGTAATCACCACTGAGTTCAATATATCAGTTTTAAGTGAAACTTTAGCTTCATTCAGTTTTTGCATTTAAAAATTAATGTTCTGTACATTATTTACACTTCATCAACTTCACCCAAATCATTTCTAATACTTTAGATAAAACCGTTGCAACTCCTCAATGTCTGTCAATGTGAAGATAATGGAGGGATAATCATCAGTCAAGGAACTGGAGGGTATAGTGTTAGTTTGCTGTGAGTTTGATGATCTTTGTCCCTTCATTTTTTTTCTTTTTTTTACAATATTTAAATCACAATTTCTCCAAAATTTTCTTTTTTTTCTGTAATAGTCTGTTGAGTCAAAGTCTAGACATTGTTAGTCAAATATTACTTCAATACATGTGAAAGTTGCTTGGTCATACTATTACTACAGTTCAAGTACTTCTTTTTGTGAAAACTACAGTAGTCAAACTACATTAAAAACTCTCTAAATGTTGTATTTACATAATGCAACAGTGCAGAAGATTTCCATTTTTGCAGCTCCAAAATAATAAGAGCAATAACAGGAATGAGCAAAACTAGAGAAAAAAACAGCAATTAAGTTCCTACAAGGATCAACAACTTCATGTAGCAATTTCATCTAGAAGAAAAATATTTAGCTCGATACCTCCACATACTTTTTCAGGCTAAAATAAAGTTTGTGTGCAGTAGACAGAGCATGCATTTAAAACAGTACAAATCATTCTTCATGTCAAAATCCTCAAACGAGGGATAAAGGTAAAAACCATGTGTGGAGAGCCATCATTCTTCTCTGCCAAAGCTGCCATTACAAACACTTAATATCCTTCCTGGACTGACTCATGTTTGCTCTTTTTAAGGATGCAGAAGGTACAGGTACGTCAACACCACCTCAGGCAGAACAACATGAATGCAGTTTACTGTTTTTTAGATCCATTCTTAGAAAAGAAAAGAACATCCAACAGCTGAATTTGGAACAAAAGTATACTCATGGAAATAAGGTGGGGTTTAAGGTACAAAATTTGTCTTTCGTCTTTTTCTTGTGGCACTAAAGTGATGAAATGCACTTAAGTATTGTAGTAAATGAACTTAGCTTCTATCTATATAAGCAGCTAAGGTTGTAGATGCATCTGGATTAGTCATCAATCAGTATGAATCAATGATCACCCTAATTTTTTTTCATTTACACCTGTGCACTGTGACAGGTCAACAGAGCTCCTTCAGAAAACTCTTGTGATTTCTCAATTACTGCTAACCCATGAAAGCTGACACATCTTCCACTGAGACAGATTGTTAGCATTTGTTATTAAAGAGGTGTGTAGTTATTTACTTTAACCCACAGAGAAGAAGAAACTGTTCACTATCAGTCACAAGCCTACGCATCTCTTCCCCTCAGGCTGCAATCAATACCCTTATCGTTACTAGGCGGAGCTGCATAATGTCCTTTGGGTGTCAGCCTCATCTCAGCCTCTGCTGAGATCCGCCCGCCCGCACCCAGAGGTGAAGGATGAGGCCGGCGAAGATGGATGGCGGTTGCCACGCTGGCCCACCAGCACAGCTGTCACCGGCAAGAACTTCATCACAGCCTTAGACCATTTCTTTCCCCCCGCCTAGAGTCACTGCTCCCATGCATGTGTGTGTGTGTTTGTGTGTGTATATGTGAGGGGATGATCAGCACAGTGGCAAAACCATTATCAGCACTAAAGACAATCAATAAAACTGTTAGAAAAGCTGGGGAGAAATAGCAAGGACGAATGTTTCTGACTAAAAGTATCAGGTGAAAAGGAGCAGAGGGGAGCTTCAGGAAGAGAAAATGCAATCTGATACAACAAAGTGAAGGAAAAGAGCTGAAAATGCTCCTTTGGAGGTGCTTAGTGGAGTCAACAAGGAGTCAGACCCTCCTGCAGAGAGGGATCTGTTACTTAACACAAATGAGAGGTTGCGCTCTACATCGCCGTGTTAACAGGCTATTCGTTTGAATTCATAATTTGTGCGTGATCGTAAATCAATACACTTAATGTTTCTGTAAAATATACTGTTTGGCTGTGAGTCCCTGCTGCTGCTCAGACCCTCCTCACTCTCTGTGATTGATGCTCACTCCTTCGGCCGTGACACCGCCAGAGTTATGACTTGGCATGCACCCCTGTGGTTGCGAGTCGGACAGGAAGCGTGTCAGAGGGCAGATTTATATAAAAGTCAAGAGTCTGATCAATCCCACAGCTCCGCAGGCCCGTGGCCCGCTGCTGGCTGAGTCGTCCTTGATTTGGTTCTGCTGCTGCCGTGTGCGTGCTGAGCTCTGCTGTCAGCACATTCTGTTGTTGTGGAGGTGCATACATAATTGAACCGCTCCCCTCCTCCTCCTCCTCCTCCTCTTCCTCCTCCTCCTCCTCCAGTGCCCCCTGAGACCCTTTGAGATAAAGCAATAAATACTCAACCTCAGCGTTTAACAACCTCGGTTCTCTGTTCCTGTTGCTGCGAGTCCACTGGCATGTAATTGCATTTCCTCTTTTAAGTGAGTTAAACACAGAAGCTGCACAGCAAACACACTTCGACATGACCTTCCCCTGAGTGGACAACCCTGCTGTTTGGTTTTCTGGGACTTTCTGCAGCAAAATGAGTGTTTGATATGAGATGTCAAAGTTTGCTGTTGGTATCAGAAGTTGGTTAAAAAGCTGAACTGTGTCAGCCTCGTCGGATCAGTCTCCAGCTCATTTTCAGTTCAAGCGCCCCTCTTTTCATTCATTCTTTCTTCTGTCATGTCCTTCTCCTCTCTGTCTCCCTTCATCCCTCTGTCTCTGTGTCTGTCTGTCTCCCTCTCCCCCTGCTCTCTCTCTCTCTCTCTCTCTCTCTCTCGCTCTCTTTCTCTGTAACTCCATGTCTATATATAGACTTCTGCATTGCAGATGTCCCAGAGCCCTGCAGTTCTGGAGGAGCTGTGAGGAATCCCAGCCAAAATTTTGTCTGCCTCACACTCACACACACTCACACACACAGGGGCAGAAACAGCAAACTGACTGTGCACCACATGATGGGACACTAACTGCATGACAGTGACTCCACACATTAGCGGTGGACCTGTGCAGCATGCTCTGCAGCATGGCTCAGCAACGTACCGGCATCACACTGCAGCAAGGATGAAGTGCCCCCCACAGAAAAGAGTCACTGCAGTCAGAGTCTTACAGTGGGAGGTGTGAAGGTTTCTTATTTTCTCGTTTCTCTCCACCGTTTCTGATCGTTCAGTGTGATTTTCTTACACTCTGGTTTTGAAAGAGTTGCTGAGTCATGGCTGTCTTTTCCAAGAGGACTTAGATGTTTCATGACTCAAAGACAGATACAAAAGAAAAAGTGTAAAATCATTTTTTATTCCTACTGTTTGTTTTCTCTGACACAGAATGATTGTATTCAGTCATTTAGATGTTAATCATAGAGAAATAACCTCAGAGTAAAGTTGATTAAAAGATAAAGAGAGAAGAGATCAAATGCAACAACTTTGAAGATAACAGCAGAGCTCATAAAAGCATGTTTTATATGTCTTAAAATGTTTTATATTTATATGTTCAGATCATATCGTAATATACACACATGCATATCTGCAGATGTGCATACGTATGTTAAAACTATGTGCTGGCTCAATCTGTTGTATCACTAAAGTAAAATTTAGAGCCCTGGTGATCGAGTGACTGCAAAAAGAAGGTTGCAATATGTTGTTATGGTGCCATAAACTCACGGTCAATAAATGTGTTTTTAATGGAAGTCTACTGGTTGATTTGCAGACAAAGTAGGGAGGATGGAGCTAAAATGCGGCAACTGAGAACTACAGGTGACATTTTTTTTTTAAAATATGAAGAAAAATAAGAACTCTCACCAAATTTGATGGCCCAATCTTTAAAATTGTGACTATCAGCTCAAAATAAAGATGAAAAAAATTATAAATGTCCTCAAAACGGACATTGCAGGAATCAAGGGTTAAAAAAACCAAAAGATTAAAAAGCGTTTCATTATGATTTAATGCAATACGTTTTAGGTTTAATGTTTCAAGCCTTCATTAGTTTTAATTTTCAGAGACTCTGGTTAACAGCTCATAAAAATCAGGAACCCTGTCTCTCAAATTATAAAAGTGATTTTCTAGGATCAATCTCTGGAAGGATTTCTGAAAATTATGTTCATTTACCTTCATTTGATACTTGATTGGAGCCAGTCGGGAGGGATAAGTCTGGGACTCCGCTGAGGTCCGATTGATGCTCAGGTGACCTTAACCGTGGCCCTCAGCTGGTCTGTAATCTTGAATTGGGCGTCTCTCCTCTTCTTCATAACCAATACACCAGATCCTTTGCAGAGTTCAGGTCACATGGGCTGGCTAGATTATCAAGCACAGTTCAGTTATGATCAACAAACCATTTAGTTGTAGTTTTGGCGCTGTGGGAAGGTGCTGAGTCCTGGCCACAGAGTCCTGAAATCATCACAGACAGCAGAAACAACACGCTGGACTTCAAGCACCTTAATTTCATGCCTCTCCACTCTTTTTCCGGACTGTTAAGATCTTGACTTATAAATGAGATACGTCTGAAAACAGGATTTTGGACCGCTGAGTTTTGGTCCGGGACTTTGTCTTCCAAGCTAAGATGCTTCTGTTATCGTCTCTGGTTTAGAGGTGGTCCTTCAAAAGTTGTTGAATCCACTTTTTCTTGATAATCCTCACTCACTGAGAGCTAGGAGGTGAAAATACAGTTTGAATAGCGATACACTCAAATTAAAGGCCTCAGATATTTTGAGATATGACTTTTTGAACTCTTTTTTGATTGTTGGACACAATTATAAAAGTTAAAGTAGAAAAATGCTTCAAACATTTCAGTGCAACAAGTCTAAATATATAAACATTTAAAAAAAACTAATGAAAATATTGAAATTATTCCTGTTGTTAAAGTGTGCTGTTGTCATGGTATAAGGTAATCTTCAATTTAAAAGTAGATATTTGTAATTATGTTTAAATGCCCTCAAAATTATACCAAGTTTCATGTCTTTATATTTAGTGTAAGCTTTTTACGTCTCAGTTAGAGTGGGTCTCTTTCCATGTTCTTGCACCACCGTGTTTCTACAGTAGCCCAGATGGGTCAAACTAGTAACATACTAGTATTTTGCATTCGGTCAGAGGTGAAAGTCACTGGTTGGGGAACGTTCAAATGAAAAATACTGACAATTCAGAGTGCTTTAAAAGAACATGATTGATTTTTGTGTCTCTCTGCAGGTATTTAAAGAAAATTCAAAATGCTTATACGTGAGATGTAAAAGATGAGATTTCAAAGGACCATCAGGCAAATCATAAAAGCTGTTTTCATTTGTTTTTAAAGGTCATTAAATTAAGAGATAGAAAACCTTTAGTGAAGTGATGCAGCGCTCTGAACTGTTTGGTAATTCCTCTGTTTGAATGCGCTGAACATCACCGGCACAAGTTCATTTTATCTCGTCTCTGTGGTGCCATGAAGAACTGCTGAGTCATGATTCAGTGTGCACCAACTGTGGAGCTGTAAAAAATAAAAGAAGAAGAAGAAGTCAGAGACGGACAGAGAGAGGTGGGAGGGGCTTGATGCCTCATAATCTGAACACTTGAATACACTCTAATGCAAATATTTCATATAAGGAAAAGTATTCACATTATACACATCACTCAGATGAACCTAATAAGAACATTTTTCTTTGTTGAGGCTGGTTTAAGATCTCCAGTCCTGTTAGCACCACTCTCCTGTGTTTGTGCAGAAAGGGAACATCTCACTGGGACGTCAAGCTCTTATTGAACTGTTGTATTTGAGCTGCAACGCTCGGCCCCTTTCACTTCTGCAGTAACAGTGGTAAGCCATTAAGTATTTATATCTGCTGGCTGCTGTCACGCCACAGAGCTGACACACACACAGATGGACACACACACACACACACACACCCACTCACAATTACAGTGAGCTTTTGCTGCCACTTGGTGTTAAAGGGGCAAATTACAGACAGTGTAATGAGGAGCAGCCAGATACAGATGAGTCTGTAAAAGCCTCTATTGACAGAATTTAGCATTTCATTGTTTGAGGATTTGAAAAAAAAAAGAAAATAAATATAACCTTAATTTTATTTTGTGAGATTAACCCTTATTCAACCCTTGTGTCATATTCACAGTGATTGTTCACTACATAATGTGTTTTTGGTCAACTAGAAAATCTTGACTTAACTTTTTGATCATTATATCACATATCTGCTTGTACACACTGCATATTTAAACTTATTCAAGTAGCTAGATCTTAAAATTCAGAGTTTATAAGACTTCTACTCAGAGTATCTGTTTAGAAGTACAACACTGTAAATGCTCCAGGCTTAAGATAGGGTCTAGAATATAACATAAAATCCACAGGAATAAAAAGAAATACCAGGAAAGGTTGGAAAAAAAAAACTCAATTTTGTGTTTAAGACCTATAAAGCAGCTGGAGGATCTGTGCACGTATTTGCAGATTTCCAGATAGGAGACATCCAGCTCTACCAACTGAACCACAGTATCAAATCTTCAGTTTTGAGAACATTACACCCCCACCTCCAAAAAAGGGTCTGGTTACAGGTATATAGGTACACTCATAGGTACATATAGAGGTTTCGTTTCTAGAGGCTGGTTTTCTGTTTGCCTTGAAAATAGCTCACACCTCCCCTGACGTCAGAGGGCTGGGATGGTCACGTCAAGTTAGCTGGATTGTGCGTAATTACGTGGAGGCTACCCCTTCAGAATAAAAGTATTCTTCACCCGACATGCAAATATCCAAACCTTCACTTTAAATTGTTGCATACGAGACACGACCGAAACAGAAACAGATAACAATCTTCAGGAAACAGGATAAATACTCTGGGTTACTATAGCAGCCAATTCAATCTGTTATCTGTTATCCTGTACAACAAAGTGTTTAACAGTTTGATAATCCTCTTTGAGCTTTACTTTTGCTGTCAAACTATATACTTTCTTATGGCAATTAAAATCAAATTTCAATCTGTACTTTGTGTAGAAGTAAATCCTGTCCCTTATATTTGTGGCTCATTTTCCTGATATAAATTCCCAGTTTGGGAGGATCTGCTATTGTTTTCCACTTTCTGATTTTAAGTGTCCAGTATTATTCGTAAGTTATGAGCTTGTTTGGAAGACCTAATTAGTCAACCTTAAGATTAGATAAGATGTTCCTTTAATAGTCCCATGAGGGAAAATTCCAAATTTACAGCAGCATTGTACAGATAAAAAAAGAGAAAAATTAAAAGACAAAGAAACTTTGAGTTGAAAAAAGATATGTACATGCATCATATTTACATTTGTACAAAATTTACATAATAATAGTATCACAGGATTTATGTTCAAAGCCTATGACTGTTCAGAAATAATTTCTTGTTTATTTCTTCTTTTTCTCGTATTTCCTTATTTTTCATCACAACAACAGATTATTATCATTATTTTAAGATACAGCATATATTTTAAATCAATACCACAATATATGTTATAGATGGGACTTAATATTCCAAAGTATGTTCATTTTAGTTTATGATCACTCGAATATATAAATCTTTTTTTTGTGCTTTTATAATAATAATAACAATTATTATAATTCTTCTTCTTCTTCTTCTTATTATTATTATTATATTTATATAATAATAATAATTATTATTATTATTCACCACTGAGGAATACTTTAATATCGTTGATGCGGATTTTATTTTGAAAACCGGAAGTTGTTCACGTCGCTCACTGAGGTTGACTTGACGCTGACTTGTTTCTTCGAGGGAAAAGTGTTGCTGTGAAAAACCTAGCAAGAAGCTCAGCAGGAGCTCTGTCAGTCCAAGAACCGTTCGTGTCTCGATACCACAGGACCTTCGCTGTGTTCGTTCGGTCGGTCACAGCCAGAGGAGATGACGGAGCTGAGACACCGAGGAGGCAAAGACACCGAGCCGCCGTTACAGCCGCAGACGTCCGAGGACAAGGTAACGTTAGCCCGGAACCGTTTAACACCGCTGCTGCTACTGTTGACGAGGCTAACGCTAGCTAGCCCCGGAGCGTTTGTGTACGAGTAAAACATCAGTTTGTGGTTTGGACAGATTAAAGAAAGACATGTTAAAACAGGTTTAAAATGAAAACACTCCCACCTCCATGTTCGCTGCTGAAATGCGCCATAACAAACAAATGATCCGCCACTGCTCTCACCATGTTGACTTGATTGGCTGATTCGTTTTACGGTCTTCCTGGGTGTGATTTCCCCTGAAAAAAGGAGCTAAGCAAACGCCTACACACAAAAATTAACTAAGATGGTCTCTACTGCCTTCATTGAATATATGAATGAAAAAAGAAGCATTAAAGGGAACAGCTGAAAGTTGTGATTGATGAGTGTTGAAGGTTTGAGGACGTGTGAACATGACTAACTCAGTCTTTACAACATCAGTGACACAACAGACAGAGCCTCCATGAGAAAAACGAGTATACAATGTTATCAGTTTGCTTATTTACTGACGTTTAGCAACAATAGTATGACGACATTTTAATTAGCATATGTTTGGACTGTCAGGGCCGTGTCCAGAGAGGTGGGGTGGCCAGGGGCAACATAGCCCCCCCTCCTCCTTTTAAGTTATGTCTTTGGCTCAGTTAGTGGTGCATCCTTCCCTGTAGATCTGTTTTCTCGCTCTGATTCGTCTCACCTCATGTCCCGCCCACTTCACTTTCTGATTGGCCAGATGTTGTACAGAAAGTGTTACTAGTTTGCTGTTAACTCCTGTGTTTCATGTTGAATAAGCCTGTTGTGCGAAAGGCGTTTAAGGCAGAGTTTGAAATTTTATAATCTTAAATCTAGCCGTCTATGCATATTAATATAGTTTCAAATATTAGTTATTGTTTTTAGGAATTATCTAATTATCAGTATCAGCATTAGTCACTATCAATTGACCCTCAATGGTCATCTCAACAACAAACAGCACAGAGTATGACAGGGTACATTTAATAGAAGGCCACCACACAGATATGACTTTTTCTTTTCTTTTAGTCGTGACTTGATGGAAAACAGGTCGGCAGAAAGTACCAAATGACGTGGGAGGGTGTTTGTCACTTTGAGCTGTCAGGTAGTTTATTTGAAAAATTGGGTGAGTTTCTTTCTGTGTGATACTCACAACATTTGAAGGAGTTGAGTGTTAAACTTACATCATGTTGTTACGATTTTAACCAAAGAAACTTTAATAAACATTTTAAACTTAAAGTTTGATGATATACACAAAATGTATTGTCTGTTTAGCATTATTGTAGTTGTTCATTTTAGTTAAAGTTCCATCAGGTTAATGGTAAATCCAGTCCTCTTCCTGTAATGTAGGTGAAAGGTGGATAAGTCTGCTTAAAAAAAGGTGACCATGACATCAGTTCACTCTGATCTGGATCAGCTTTAGAAGAACAGCTTTTAGGAAATGACTTTGGTTTATGAAACGGGGATGAGGACTCAGAGTGACTCACTCCGTTTGTAACCTGATTTCTGTCTGCTGCTCTTCTTCATCAGCTTCATCAGGTCGTGCCGGTCTGATTAGAAACCGTGGATGTCGGGGGTTTTCTTTAAATGACACCCTGAACACGTTTGTCTTCAGCCATCCAAAGTGTTTTGAAACAGGTGCTGGTAAATATGCGCTCACAGCATCAGACCGCTGAATCACAAACCTCCCTGTTGCCTCTGTGCTTTATTTGTTGGAGCTGCACTGCACTCTAGCTTAGAAGTGCTAGTCCGTACCCCCTGAGTACAAATGTCTTCCTTTTATAGCCTGGTGATGATTTTCTAATGTATTAGAGAAAAACAACAACAACAACAACAGAGACTCTCAGGGTTCCCGCTGGTCTACCACTGAGGATAAAAGGGGAGGAGTGGACTGTGAAAGGAGCGCCTATTTTTAACTCAAGCATCCTGGATGACGGATATTGTTTCCATAGAAACCAGTAGGCGGAGAAAGGGTCCCTGTGTGTGTTTTCTCGTGCATGCCCCTGCTTTCATTCGGTGGGCTTTGACAACTATTGACAGGGATTTGTGTGAGTGATTTACATCGTTAGAAAAAAAAGCGTTACATTTTTTAAAATCAGAGTGAATAAAAGGTGTTTGTTCTGCAAAGATGAGCAGATCCAGAGAAAAGGGAGTCTTTGAGGGACTCTGTAATGATGCTGTGGACTCCTACTCTATTTTGCCACATCTGTTAAAACTAAATCTAAACCCTCTATATGCAGTCTTTGCTTTAGTAGAACTGTTGCAAAAAGAGGCTAAGTTTTTGTCAAGATGAGTCTTTGTTATTTAGCTTGATTCTGTCAATGAATAAAAAAAGATGATGATGAGATTTGTTCTGTTTGAACAAGTAATTTTTGAAAAGAAGAATTTATTCTATCTACTTATGAAAACAAGAACATGATATGACGTGTAAGTTTAATGTGAAACAACAAAAAATAATGGGGCGGCAGTAGCTCAGGAGGTAGAGTGGTTGTTCTATAAGTGGAAGGTTGGCAGATCAATTCCCCCCTATCCCGAGTCTGTCTTTGTCCTTGGGCAAGACACTTAACCCACCTTGCTCCCAGTGTGTGTCCTCCACTGGTGTATGAATGTGAGTGTTGTGTGGTGGTGGTCGGTGCAAACTGGCAGCCACATTTCCGTCAGTCTGCACCAGGGCAGCTGCCACTACTAAGGTAGTTTACCACCACCAGAGTGTGACTGTGAGGGAATGAATGATGTCTCCAATGTAAAGCGCTTTAAGGGGATCCGATAAAGCGCTATATGAAATCTGATGCGTTATTATTATTATTATAACACTCTCTGCGTGTGATCGATTTCAGATATTATTATCAGAGCACTGTCAGATGTTTTTAGGCCTTTTATATTATTTAATTACATGGATTTGTGCAGGGTGTGCATTTCACTAGTGGCTCTTTTCATGGAGACTTAGGTCAGGTTTTAATTCAAGTGAATGTCAAATGAATATGTTCATTAAATCTAAGTTTAAAACGTGCTTTAATGGGCACATCTGTCTATCTGTCTGCAGTTATTTGATAAAATGTTCATTCAGCTTTGGCCTTTTTGTTTGTCATGTATTATTATTGTTATTTCAGCATCTATGTTGTCTTTTCGCTAACCAGCTCTCTAACCCTTGGCATCAGCCATTGAAAAACCAGTATCAGGGAGCCACTGTTGTGGTGCACAGGTGCCTTGGTTATGCAAAGTAAAATCCGGAAAGAGCTTGTCCACCCAAAGGGGGTTGGGAGGGTGGGTTTTGTCTAACCGACAGCTCACTTCACAGTATCCTTCCTCCTTTTTCAGTACCACACAAAGAAACCAACATGGTTGAACCAAGTATTGACTTAAGGAAGATTGTATTGATTTGTAAATGATTCATTATTCATGCAGCAGCAAAACAAGTCCGTCAGATTCCACTATCAGTAGCACTTCCATGACAGTGAAACTCCTATCATTATGGGTTAGTTTCACTTTAGACTTATGATTTTGACTCATGTTAAAGTCCTTACATCAGCTTGTCCTTCAGTTATAAACCACACTTACACATGTTCTTACACTGTGAAGTAAAAACCATTTTCATTTCCTTGGCAGTCTCTAACAGATGCAGAAAACAACAGCAGCACCTGTAGTAGGAGGACCCTCTGAATCTTGTCTGTTTGTGTTTTCTTCCTTCTCAACAGCTCTGTAACACTGCCAATGTCAAACCTGTGTTGCTCATTGTTTGTCTTCTGCGTCTGTTGTCTTTAATTTGATTAATGTGTCTTCTGAGCTCGAACCCTTGTCATCAGGAAGGGTAAAATCATAAACTGACTCCACAGATTTGATAGGACACGTGCGTCCTGGTTGTCCTTGGCGTCTCTCTTGCTGGTTAGGGTTACTTGTCTGTTGTTGTTGTTTCTGGTTTTAACCAATCAGGATCACGTGTTAAACATAGTTGGTGTTATTAGAGAGGTAATAGTTAAAAGAGAAAGTGTCCTGCTGCTTTGTTAATGAATTATCTGATGGTAAAAAGGCAGAGCACGAAGCAGAAAACAGCAGGACGAGAGTCTGCTCTGTGAATGTGAGGTGACGGCTCTGAGCCTAATATGGTCACTGGCAGCAGAGGGTCGGCAGGGGTGAGGAGTGACAGGACGAACGGATCCCTGCTGTCACCAGATGAGCTGTAATAACTGTGTTATTGTTGTCACCATGGAGAGGCAGAGATCGGTGTGTTCGGAGCAGGCCTCCATCACTAAAACAGATGGTTCTGAGATATCAACAATATGGAGAAGATTTGGCGCAGCAGTGTTCAGCTGCCCACACACACACACAACCCTACACACACACACACACACACACACACACACACACACACAGTCTTGTTTTTATTTAGCATCTTCACCCTGACATGGACGTCGTACTGCTGTCTGCTCATTCACATATCCTTCTCCTGAACATCAAATGTGTTTGAACTTTACATTTAGTGAACTCAGTCTTGTGTTTGAACATGTGACCATTTTGGCTGATTCGACCTTTCCCCAGAACAGCGTGTGTAGAAACTATGCTCAACATTTGTTTAAACGTCTTTCTATCATAGCAGATACAACAGGTTTGTCCGTCTGTGGAGTGTCCCCTTTTTATAACCATTCACTCAGGGCTGTTGAAACACATCTGTAGGGAGAAACGAAGGGGAAGTTGTGTGTGTTTGTACTAAAACTACATGATACTGAGGAAAACTAATATTGAGATTTTTTGGGGATATACTGAAAAACAAAGAAAAAAAACAACCAGAATATTTGATGTATAGTAGCGATTTTTGGTTTTACAATTTTTAAATCGTTTTTTTATGTTCAAAAATATATATAAATTTTTTCAAATTTAAGAATAAATCTTATGAACTGACTTACATGTGATGTGTATTTTTTGGGGAAATATGGTTCCTGGAATAGTCAGTAGACAATCATAATAATTCAACTGTTTCACTGATAAAATGCAGATTAAAGATTGAGAAAATCGACCATATCGTAGAATCGCAATTTAAATCAAATTGGCATCCAAAAAATCGTAGAAGAATCGTATCGGGAGAAAAGCACATCGTCCCAGCTGTATCAGTCACGGTATCGCAGTAATGATATGAATTGTGATGGTTAGCTTTATCTTCATCTGACTTCATTACTCGTAATGTTGTGGTCCACTTCACATCAGACCAACATGTTCAGGACCAACATCAACTCTTTGTTTGGGCTGTTTATTCTGTTCCAACTTCTGTAACCTTGTTAACGTGTCACCTGAGGAAGCTTCACGTTTACTCAACTCTGTGAAGTTTTTCAGCTAAAAACTGAACCTTCCTTTCCACTAAAACATCACATTAATCACCATCTCCATCACTAGAATCGAGGATGTACATTTTCTGTAATGCTAGACGACCAGCAAAGAAATCCCTGACTTTATCTTATTAGCTTTTTTTTATTTTGTGTAAGTGAGGTGTTTATCATGAAACTGTAAAGGGCAGTGAAAGAAGGTAACTAAAAGCTAAAATCAGCATTATAGTTCAGACTGTCAAGCTGATGTTTGATTGGGGCACATGTTGCACTGTGTCTTTTAGCAGGCATAACTAATCTACTTCTGATCACTGTACAGGCTAACATTTTATCCAGAAACGAGAAAGAAAGGACAAATGTGCCCAAACATATTCTAATGTTGAACAGAGTGAATTTAAGGAGCAAAGCTTTTAAAACAATTGCTATTTTTAGCTCTGCTGCTGCTGCTTAAGAAATCTTTCTCCTTTTCTGGAACATTCTGTTAGTGCCGCAGTTGTGCATTTGCAGTATTTGGCAGGACATTTTAATTCTATTTTTATGATATAATTTTAGGCAAATATGGACATGTTTTGGCAGGATAGTTTATTTCTCTGCTCTGATTTTAAGCAAATGTAGGATCTAATCATACGGCTCATGGTTTGTTTTCATTGTCGAAGTAAATAAATTCAGAAGCAGAAATACTCATTATTCTCAGGGGTAAATTCTCTGATTAATAATATTAGAATTTCTTAAAGCAATTGTATCTCATGTTTCAGTGTTTAGACAGTTATCAGGTCCAATGAGAGTCACATCTATGCAACTTAGATTCACACAAATCTGATGCTTGGTCAGGTTTTAGCCCAAAGAGATTTTCTGAGGCTGTTTTAACAATTTTTTTCTTTCTGCTTTCACTTTTGTCTCCTGAAATGTGTCCTTTCTCCTGTAATTTTTTTCTTTCTGCTTTCACTTTTGTCTCCTGAAATTTGTCCCTTCTCTTGTATTAAGCATGACAATATGCTACAAATAAACAAGACTGAAGATTTGAGTTAGTACACTGAGATCATGAAGGCAGACTCAGGGGTCCCCGAGGTGCCGGTCCCTCCAGATGACACACCTGTGGTTCTAATAAGGTGCCGGTGTAATTAGTCATGAATAAATGATCATTTTTCCGCATGTGTTTCTGTTTTAGGGTATGAAGTGATCTGTGAGTCAGAGTGTAGCTCTAAAAACGGCAAACGTTGTACAGCGAAATGCCTTCACAGCTCTGCTTCACGTGTGGAGGAGTCATGAGTCACACAAAGAAATCTCCTGGCTCAAATATTTTACGCTAGGGGAAGAAAAATCTCAGCAGCGTCCTTTTATTGTTTTCTAATGTTGACACTCATTCTTCTGTAGTATGAAGTGATCTGTGAGTCAGAGTGTAGCTCTAAAAACAGCAAACGTTGTAAAGGAAATGCCTTCACAGCTCTGCTTCACGTGTGGAGGAGTCATGAGTCACTGGCCAATACCGATATTGATCCGATATTAGCACAAACTTGTGCATGACAAGTTTTTCACTCAGCTGCAACGTCTTTTTTGGACGTTAATGAAAAATACTGCCACAGGGCCAGCATCACTCTTACTCCTTGGTACTTTGTTAGTACCTTAGTACACACTGTTGTTGTGATCATGTAGGCTCTACATGCTGGATCTGGGAGCTGCTAGATAGAGGTGCTGGAGCAGAGTCTGAAGTGGACTGCTTGTATCGGAGTGCTGATATCGGAGATTTTAGATGCAGGCCGATATAATCTGGTATTCGATTTTTTTGCTGATATCGGACTAATATCCGATATCAATATTGAATTGGGACACCCCTAATTAAACCATATGATTGTTCTCAAATTGTTATCTGGAGAAGTTTGTTGACACATAAGGGTGAAAATATGCAGTTAGAAGTTTGAATATCAAGCACAGAAACATGTCTGCCTCTGTTATGGTAGGTGGTGACATCCCCCCTTTCTCATTACTATTAGGCTGACTCCTGGTCACCATATTATAAATCAAAGGCTAACAGGACTGACGTCAAACAATGAGAACACATTAGTTTTTACAACTCTGTACTGCTTGTCTGTACGATAGGAGAGTTTAGTCTTTTTTACGTCCTTTCTGGCGTGGCGTGCGAACACTGGAGCGTGCTCAGAACACTTTAGGCTCAGTTTCAGTCCGATTGACATAGAAGAGACACTCCATCCTCAGTTTGTTAGTCCAGCTGTGATTTCAGTGGGACTAATGTGTAATCATAATTTTTAAAAGTCCAGTTTCAGTTGGAGGAAGATAATAAATGGATGTTTTTGACTGACTCTGATGTTTTTTTCTAGTGTATTGACTGTTTGTGTGTTTTTCTTTAGATGGAAGAACTGGTGGGTACGAGGCATCCTGACACTTGCCATGATCTCCTTCTTCTTCTTCATCATCTACCTGGGCCCCATGGTGCTTATGATGATTGTGAGTACAGATCACACCTCATCCTGGATCCTGAAGAAAACATTTTCCCATCATATAGCAGAAATATGAACCTCAGGGCCTTCTATAACATCTATATCATGTTTGTATTCGAGTTGCAGACTCAAAACTGCTCCTGACATTCACTTGAACTTTAACACACATGTATGAAAACCTTAAACTAAAGGATTAATGGGCTTTCTAATAACAGGCAGGAGACTGCTGCTCTTGTCATTCGGGAATCTCCTGAAATTAGGTCTGTCAGCCATCTTGTTTCAGGATGTAGGGCATTCACTCACTCACTCACTCGTTAAGCTCTGGGGTTCTGTCTCTTGTGGTGACGCTGTGTTTCTCTCTGCAGGTCCTCTGTGTGCAGATAAAGTGCTTCCATGAAATCATCACCATCGGCTACAGCGTGTACCACTCCTATCACCTGCCCTGGTTCAGGACGCTGAGCTGGTGAGGCTGCTCACAAAAACACAGTCATTCACACATTCATGGAGGTGTAATAATGAACGCAGCGAATTTCTCTGTTTGCATGTTTTTTTATTCTTTTGTCTCATGTTTTATTTTGTTTCAGACTTCCTGAGGTTTGTTTTCTTGTCCGTTTCAATCCCGAGTAGATCGTAGACCATTAAGCTAATCGGCCACAATGTGATCAGAATGATGTGATTATTTGATTTAGTTATAGTGGTGTACTGTATAGCATGATAGAGAGCAGAGTCCTGACATTCACTATGTCGTGAGCTGGAAAATTCAAACTGCAGTCAATTTCCTGCTCATAATTCTCCGGTCTTAAATTTTTATGCAGGAAATGAGTCAGAGAGTTAAAGTAATCAGCCTCACTGGTTTTACCGCAGACATACTGAATGCATGGTCTGATTAGAGCATCTGTCTTAAAACAGTGAGATGTTACATTTGTTTCAACCCTCCTCACCACAGGTATTTCCTGCTGTGCGTGAACTACTTCTTCTACGGCGAGACGGTGACAGATTACTTCTTCACGCTGGTGCAGAGGGAGGAGCCGCTTCGCATCCTCAGCAAATACCACCGCTTTATCTCCTTTGCCCTCTACCTCACAGGTACAAACGCTGACACTCAGAAAGGTCCTCGAAATGCAGGGATGCAGCGTTTAATCAGTTTCACATTTAACTGCACTTTGTTAAGGCTCCTCTAAACACAGAGGTCCCTCACTACATCTCTTTTGATTAGAAAACAACATCTTGTGTTCATTATAAAACTCCTCATAGCTCTTATTAAAAGTCTCATGCAGCTGGTTGCTGCTGATGTTAAAAACAAAACAAAACGCTGACCAAAGTGCTGTGCAGTGAAAATTAAAAAAAAACAAAAAAACAGACAATTAACACGAACAATAAAACAAAGACACAGGACCACATTAAAAAAACAGGGGGACATAGATGGTTCAATGAAAACATGATTAAAAAGACCAAGTTAAAAAGCCAAGGAGTAAAAGTTGCTTATTTTTACCTCACTAATCATCCACAAGCAGATGTACTGTTTTGATTAACCAAATGTCAAATTAACAAATTGAAAATGCGAGCTGTGTTAGCTGACTGTCTTTATAAAATTTGTTGCTCATGATCGTTGACAGAAGAGCAAATTATATGAAGAGAAACAGCAGGCAGGAGCTCGTGTAACGCTGCCTTAACAGTCATAAATAAGTTGAAATATAAAGCACATTAAATCTAACTATGAGTGAAATGATAATGGATGACATTACATGATATGACATTATATACATATGGGAGTATATTTAACATCTTCAATACCCCACTGAAGAGTCAAAACAACACAGCGAATTAGGGCTGGGTGATAAACCAACAGTTTGCTGATACAGAAATTTACTAGAACAACCGACGTCATTTTGCCCATGTCAATATTTTAGGTGTCAAAAAAATCAATAAACAAAAGTTGGTTTTGGATGTGTGTAGGTAGACTATGGTCTCATGTCCCTTTAAGACGCTGTTCCACGTCAGAGACGTGACTCCACCTCGTCCAGTCAGTAACAAAGAGGGAAAGACAGGTGAGGAGATGGAGGACGGTTCAACGGAGTTAATGTGGGAGGGGGTGAGCAGCTTGTGGAGTAGTTATTGTCCATTTATCGAGGTCATGTTGATTTGAGGCCATATCGCCCAGCCCTACAGCGAATACAAAACGCTTACACTTCCAAAGAGTACTCATGTTATTATATTCACTAATTAATATGATGATTTATTCTAACCATGACAGTAATTTATCTGGATATAACTGCACCATCAAAATCTCTAATCATTACACCTCCCACCTGGTTGTAGGTGATTGCTTTCTAAATGAATACATGAGCATTCAATCAAACAACAGTACTCTGTTATTAAAACAGAATAGAGTTGTTTTTTTTAACACAGCACATGTCCTGTATCTGGTGACGGTAAACACTGCAGAGGCCGTCATCTGCTAACCTAGTTTGTTACAAAAGATGAGACAACATCAGGTTTGTCTCAGGAGGGAAATATAAATAGAAAAATCATGCATCAATGTCTCTGTAAGGGCAGAAAAAAGTCTGGAGGCGTTGACTGATGACATTTGAAAGTTGACAGTTCAGTTTCTCTGTTTGCATAATGAGACCAGATAGTTCAAAGTTGGTTATTTTTGACACCACACTCACTGGAGACATCCTGCAGGTTGTCAGTTAGTTGTTAAGTGCTACGTCAGCTGCTGGCTGGCGCCAAACAGGATGTGGAGAGGAAGGAAGCGCCCCGACTCTTTCTGCTTAAAGTGAAACTCGAATGGCCTCTAAGATAAAGTTGTCATACCATCAGACACTTTGGCTCGAGTGAAGGATATACTTAAAGTCAATCCTGAATCTTGAAGAGAGCAGCTTTGTTCGTGTGTGCAGAGGTTTTGATTCTGATTTAATAAAAAAGCACTTTCTCTTCACCTCAGTCTCATCTTCAGCTCAAATCAAACAGCTTCAGCAATCCTCTCCAGCTCACTGCACACTAACTCTGGGCTTTGTCTGAAATAGGTCAAGCTATATTTGGTGGGAGTTTGACCATAGATGGCTCTGGATTAATTACTCGCCTGCCTCTTTCAAGTACCGCTGCCCCAGCTGTGCCCTCACCAAGTTTTTCACACACTGTTTTTTATGTTTTTGCAGGTTTCTGCATGTTCGTGCTGAGTTTGGTGAAGAAACACTACCGTCTTCAGTTCTACATGGTGAGTGGCTCTCTTCCCCCTGGCCTCAAGACTGCTGGGATATTGATGAGGCCAGCTGAAATGGAGGCCGGTGTCTGGAGAAGTGGGCCAGAGATTACTCTAATAAAAATGTGCAGACATCCTGACGGTGCAGTTTAAAAAAAGTGAGGCTTGTTTATACAAAGAGCATAAAGCCCAGTGAACCTAAACTTTCTTACATGCAGCCCAAAGTCTCTGTTGTTCAGCAGACTCAGGTGGAATAAAAAAGAAAAGATCAACCGGTTTTTCAAAAGTTTTCAGGATGGAAACCTTTCAAAGTTTCACTGTGGCAGTTTTAAAGCTTCATAAATTCGAACATTTCCTCTCGTCGGTAAAGTGGCCTGTAATATTTTACTGTCTGTAAGTGAGGAGACACTTCATCGACCCACACAGTCAGCCACATTGTTGATTCAATCAACCCATTATCTGGGAGAAAGCACCTCTGTGCCAACAGTGTTCACACTGATCTTGGTGGGTCGAATCTCTCTGAGGCCCTTTTGTTTCAGTCCACATCATTACCACTCAGATAAAAGACTCACAAACCCGATCAGTGAATGTCATTTTTACACGTCTCGTTGTGTTCTCTCCACAGTTCGGTTGGACTCATGTGACTCTGCTGATCGTGGTGACTCAGTCCCACCTCATCATCCACAACCTCTTTGAAGGGATGATCTGGTTAGTAATTTTATTGTATTAGCTGTGTATTAAATAAGTTTCTCTCTGATGTTTGGTCTCATGGTAAAATTCTGCTGAGGCTCTGTATAAATATTTTCACTTTGTCTCCTGACACATGACTGTTGTTTACTCCTCTTCTTTTCTGATTAGGTTCATCGTCCCCATCTCCTGTGTGATCTGTAACGACATCATGGCCTACATGTTTGGATTCTTCTTCGGCCGCACCCCACTTATCAAAGTTGGTTTTATTACTTTTATTCTGATTCACTGTGTATTTCTCACCAGTCAAACTCACATCTTTATGACAGATGTGAATATCACCTCTCCTATTCTGCTGTAATGTCAGAATTGTGCGTCACATAGTGATGTATTAACTCGGTGTCCACTCTGTGACCTTTGCAGTTGTCACCCAAGAAGACGTGGGAAGGATTCATCGGAGGGTTTTTCTCCACCATCGTGTTCGGCATCATGGTGAGATTTGGACATTTAGCTTTTGTCCTTTTCAGACTTTAGATACAGTACCTATTGAACCAACACATTTAAGCCGAATAAATCATGCTCTCTGTATCTGAATATCACACAAGTAAAAATAATCAGATTGATAGTAGGTTCGGCATACCTTTGATCATTTTTCATAACAAACTTAATCTGAGATGATCATTTTGTGCTCGCCCTCTTTATATATCACATTTTGACACCGTTTTTACAGTTATCAGGTGTCTTTGCTGCATAACTTACTGTTACCTCAAGAATACATCATAATGATAATCTGTGATAGTTGTCAGTTGTTGTACTTTAACCCAGTCACTGGCCTCTCCATCTGTCACATCTGTTTGCAGTAGCCGATAGCTGACCTCAGTCATGAGACACTCTTGGTACAGATAATGTCATTTAATTATAGAGTTTACTCAATTATTCATTGAGGCTTAAAACTCTGGTTGAGAACCTGACATAACCCAAATGATCTGAGGTTCACAGATTGAAATCCGAGCTGATGTTTATCAGCTGTTTGAGCTGGATTCAAAATCATTTTATACCCAAATAACTATCATAAGATAAGATAATTTATCTCTTTATTTGTCCCACAAGGGGAAATTCCAGAATTTACAGCAGCGATAAATACAGAAGAGACATTAAAGAGTGAAGAATGAAGAAACGTAGGAGTTAAAAAGATGTAAAAAAGATATTAGTGTCATTTACATCATGTGGTTCTTATGGACACTTCTTTGAGAACCTGACATAACCCAAATGATCTGAGGTTCACAGATTGAAATCCGAGCTGATGTTTATCAGCTGTTAGTGCAGCATACAGCACTGAAAGTACTTCAAACCACAGACAGAGGCTGATGACACCATTTCTCAAGTAGTTCTACTTTTTTCTTGTTGACATTTTCTTAAAATAAGCCGACACTGGTGCGTTACAGGAAAAGCGTATACTGATGTGAAGTTAATCTGTGATTGACCTTTTTATCATTAAACCAAAATAAAAGTCTGGTTTTTGTTACAGGAAAAATTTATTTAATTTAGTGCTTTCATGTTAGATTTTCTTGTTTCCCACCTGAACCCAGTTTTTAAAAATCTTAAGTATGTTGTTGCTTGTGGAGATAAATGCGGTTCTAACACTGAGGTGTCCAACATACGGTTAAATTCATCATGTAATATCTGGAGATTGGATTTTTCCTTCTGCCTGGATGAAACATCAGACAAGATCTGCTCCAGACCGACAACGGTGACAGCAGAGTAACTGACGCCTGCTCTCCTCACAGCTCTCTTACGTGATGGCCGGGTGGCGCTATTTCGTGTGTCCGGTGGAGTTCAACAACGACTCCAACAGTTTCCAGGTTGACTGTGAGCCTTCAGAGCTTTTCCAGCTCCAGGACTACGCCCTGCCCAGCATCCTGGAGTCTGTCACAGGATGGGTAAGAATCCCTTTGACTCAGTATCTCAGATTTCCACCTGGTACATGTGGAGTCTTGATAACTGCTGGTTCCTTTTAAATAAACTCCTCCCTCTTGTCTCCACAGACCACAGTGCGTCTCTATCCATTCCAGATCCACAGCATCGCTCTCTCTTCTTTTGCCTCCATCGTGGGACCTTTCGGAGGCTTCTTCGCCAGCGGCTTCAAGAGAGCCTTTAAGATTAAGGTGGGGATGAAGAACTTTTGCATATGCACCTCTTGTCGGATAGACTCAGAATAAATAAAGTTTTATGCCTGATTATAAATAAAATATTCCGTGCATTGCAAACCCATGACCTGATGGTGTCTTTTAAATGTGCGTGTTTTATTCTTTTGTCCTTTTAGGATTTCGCCAACACTATCCCGGGTCACGGTGGCATCATGGACCGATTCGACTGCCAATACCTCATGGCCACATTTGTGAATGTCTACATCGCTAGCTTCATCAGGTAATAAATTCAAGTCTGTGTCCATTGCTAATACCGGAATAGATAGATAGATAGATAGATAGATAGATAGATAGATAGATACTTGGATAGATAGATAGATAGATAGATAGATAGATAGATAGATACATAGATAGATAGATAGAAAGATAGATAGATAGATACATACATAGATAGATAGATAGATAGATAGATACATACATAGATAGATAGATAGATAGATAGATAGATAGATACTTGGATACTTGGATACTTGGATAGATAGATAGATAGATAGATAGATAGATAGATAGATAGATAGATACTTAGATAGATACTTAGATAGATACTTAGATAGATAGATAGATACTTGGATACTTGGATAGATAGATAGATAGATAGATAGATAGATAGATAGATAGATAGATAGATAGATAGATAGATAGATAGATAGATAGATAGATAGATAGATAGATACATAGATAGATAGATAGATAGATAGATAGATACTTGGATACTTGGATACTTGGATAGATAGATAGATAGATAGATAGATAGATAGATAGATAGATAGATAGATAGATAGATAGATGGATACTTGGATAGATAGATAGATGGATACTTGGATAGATAGATAGATAGATAGATAGATAGATAGATAGATAGATAGATAGATAGATACTTGGATAGATAGATAGATAGATAGATACTTGGATAGATAGATAGATAGATAGATACTTGGATAGATAGATAGATAGATAGATAGATAGATAGATAGATAGATAGATAGATAGATAGATAGATAGATACTTGGATAGATAGATAGATAGATAGATACTTGGATAGATAGATAGATACTGAGATACATAGATACTTAGATAGATGTAGAGATACTTAATTAATCACAGAGGGAAATTCTAAAACCGTTCTACTGGCCAAAATTCCATTTGAAGATGGAGGTACTGTGGAGTAGCTAACCTCAGTATCAGAGCACGTTTATTTGAGCAGACATATTCTGTGAGGTGTACGTCTCATCACTCTCCTCTTCCTCCCAGGGGCCCGAACCCCAGCAAGGTGATCCAGCAGCTCCTGGCCCTCCGAGTCGACCAGCAGCTCCACATCTTCAACTCCCTGAAGACTCACCTGACAGAGAAGGGTCTCCTGCCAGCCGTGGAGGAGGCCGCCGCCTAGAACCTGAACGCAAGCGGCTTCGCACTGAGAGGGAGACCGGGGGAGGAGGAAGGAGGGTAGCACCCAGGGGCCCTGAGCAGCTCTGGAGCTTTTGGGGGGAAACTCACGATGTTTTGAGTGAGCTGGAACACATCCGATAAAAACAAAAAGAACAAGAAAAAAAAAACAGCTTCAGCCTTGGGTCATTCCATTTCATTCGGGCGTGAGAGTGGAGCGTTTTTGTCCATCCAGTCTGTGAATCATGTTTCTGACGCCGGTGTTTCAGGTTGAGTTAGTGAATTACTGTACTGTTACACATTCTAGCCTACTTCTGCTTCTTCACCATGTTGAACTGTTGGTCAGCTGTACATTTCTACTTGTATACAGGATAACCTCTATATACTGACTAATGTGTGTGGGTATATTTTATTGTACTTTTTTTGTTTCAATGCACTGCTCTCAGCCTCCTTTTTTTCACTGTATTGTTACCCCAGGTGCTCCTCTCCCCCCCTCGCCAAAATATTCAGTTTTAATTTTCTTTGTTGTGATTGTTTCTATTTATACATAGATGGTTTTTATATTTGGTATGTTCTATTATATCTTAATGTTGTGTCTGTTTTATCAGACTGAAATCACGTTTGCCATCCGCCACATGCATTTCAGTGTCTTTTTCTTGTGTTTTTTCACCGTCATGGATCATTATTAGTCATTTTAAAGCAGCAGTGTCCTAAAGTTGAACATCTGAGTGACTCTAAAGGATCGCTGAATCTCACAAATCAAGAATCTAGACTGAGAGTTTGTTGGTTTTAGTGCCACGGTTGTTCGGACCCATTTCGATCTCTTTGTTCCTTTTACTTATTCTGGAAAAAGCAGAATCCAAATCTGCTTCAATACATTTCATCTATCACGTAAATCTGATGCAGGTTTTCTTTACATGCTCGTGAAGGTGGGTAGGGCAAAGTCCACGAAAATGAACACTGATGTTTCCACACTGCCGATCTCTGCTTCTGTGTGGCGTAACCTCATTACGGTGAGAGTGACAGAGCAGACACCTGCAAATATGACCTTCACATGTCAGCTTGAACCGTGTTAGAGCAGCTGTGCGCGTTTGCATCCGACCTAAATAGCTCTCTGTGGTATTGATGCTTGTTTGCAATGTCTGTGTTATTTAAAGGTAAAATTTAAAAGCTGAAGAATCTCTAGTATTTTTTTGACGAAGGGGCTCGAGTCTTAATTTGAAAGGAAGTGTGAGGAGAGATAGTGACAGGATGAGGAGGATGAAGAGTATCCTCTAACTAAGCCGTCAAAAACGGGCGAACTCTACTGATTTTATACATGAATTAAGGAGGTACTTATCAGCTTGTGAAACATTTCTGTTATGTCTTTTATGGAGGTTGAAAGACTGAGTTTGAAGACTCAGTCGTGGTACAAAAAGCACGGATGTCTTGCTGTCAGGGATTCAATGCAAGAAATGATCTTGTTGCGCCATGAGGACCATGTATTGAAGAGGTGCTGAGGAGGAGGAGAGGTCAGAAAAGATTGGGCTGTGATGCATCAGTTTGACAATTTTTATCTGTCCCCTACTTTTTTGAAAAGTAGGAGCTCTGCCAACATAATCTGTTCTCTTCTGTTCAAAAAAAAGTTGATTTAATCGTTGATCGCATAAAAACTCATGTTGGTGTTGTAAAAGATATTCAAAGTAAAGAAGACTTGTACTTGAATTTTTCCCCAAACCCTTAAAACCGTGTGGATAAAACTGCTGATGACCACTGATCTGGAGTTTCAGACGTTTCTTTTAGCATTGCTGCGTTTTTCATGTTACTCAATCAACTCATCACCTCAAAGCTTTCCATTATGTTTGTGCACATTCATCATTTTCTTTCCAGAGAAATGATTAATTTCTCCTTGGACACGTCAGAGTCAGTGTTATTGAAGACAAAACAGCAATATGAACATCCATGCAGCGGAGGGTGGGTGTCTCTGTACAACCTTTAAAGTTGTTTTCCATTATCTTAATCAAATCAGCTTCTTCACAACTTCACCAAAACTTCAACAACATCCGTTTCTGTTTTGATTCTCGTGTCCGCTTTGATCTGTCTTATATTTCTTAACTTATTTATTTTACTTACTGAAAAAGCGAATCTTTTCAAAGTTATATAAAAAGATGTTAAGAGACATGTTAAGTGTTCTTGAGTATTTTTGTTTAGAGGAATATTTAAAGGCTTTATTGCCATAAGATAAGAGAGTATTCAGATAGCAGAAATGTATTTTCTCCGGGTCGTTTCTTGCTTCCACTTTAGTGTAGTTATAATGGGTGTTTTCTAGGCTCCCTCCCTGCTAGCTGTTGTGTCGAATTTTTGTGTCACAGTGCGAATTGAAGCGACACAGATATTTGTAGCACTGTGTTGCGTCGTCTCCCTTTGAGTAGAGAGGAGTTTCCAGAGTTTTAAGTGCGACCTGTGTCCTCAGCGTTCTTCTAAAGCCTCTGAGGTGGTTTCAGTTTTTAAGGCTCCCAGCCCCTGCAGCTCTGTACTGCCATTTCTCTGCCTGCTGTTCCAGACGGCCACTAGAGAGAGCTGGAGCTCCTGTGGTTGGCTGGTCAAGTGTGACACTGATGCTGCACTGAGCAGAAAAGGTTCGACCCTTTGTTACTGCCGTCTGATACATTCCTCTACTCCCTGAAGTTTGGGTTTGAGCCCTGGGAGGCAGATTTAAAACCACTTTAAACAAATCTGATTGTCTTTTTCTTTCACGGCACGTAGGACGCACATCTGTGCCGCTCTGCTCTGCAATCCTGCCAGGTCAGGACCCTCCATAAAGGAATGTATTGGAGTTATAACCACCCCTGTATCTTGCAGGCTTTCCTCCCTTTTGTGGACGTTTTCTTTAGCGCTTCTACTAAAGTTGTTATCATTTCAGTATATTCTCCTTAAACAGTGCAATGGTTTGTGTTGAGTTGTACATTTGTCGACAAGAAATTGTACTTTTTGATGCTGAAATGTGCTTCAAAGAAAATTAAAGTTATGGAAAATAATCATGTGGTTTGCTGTGTGTGTGACCTGGTTTCTTCCCTCTTTCTCTTCTTCCCCATTTTGAAATAGATATTTAGTTGATAGAGGCTAATTTTGTCAAACTTTGAAAGGTTGCACTCACAGCATTGTAAGGATTAGTGGAGGGTATCTCAGATTTGGACCCCAAAAATACATCATTGTTCATTCTGTCTTGGTGTGTCTTGTGGCGCTTTGAGCTGTGAAGCGACACACTTTTCAGAGGAGTCAACCCATAAGGTGAAAACCATTTCCTTTCCGAACACGCTGGTGGTTTCATCTCTCTCTGACTCCGCTGAACATTAGTCATTTGTAAACTTCTCTGCATAAAGCCCCGGAGCCCTGCGAGTCTGCGTGAATCAGCCTGGGAGCCGTTTTATTAAAGAGAAGTCTATCAGAACGAGCGTGAACATGGAAGTGAAGGCAGCATCAGGGGGACGCGTTTAGAGAAAGGCTGAAAAAAAAAAGAAGAAGACAGATTAACACACAGGAAGTAGGAAGTGTGATCTGCGATATCTCTACTTTGTGTGTGTGTGTTTTTGTGTATCAAAGTGTGTAGTGTGTGTGTTCTGTGGGGATGTATGTGTGAAATGAAACAGTGACCTGTGTTATGAGTGAAGGACAATGTCTCTGAAACTACCTCGCCACTGGGACTTCAGCACCTTCAAGGCTGAGACAGCTCGCATAGGTAAGCTGGTGGCCGTGCTGCGTTCACTGACAGCTGGATTCACTGGACTGTCTGCTCTTTGAACATGTAGAGAAAGATGTCATTTTTACGTGTGTTATCTAGACCTAATTTTTCACAGGAGCAGGATCAAAATCTGAGTCAACACAGCTGAGAGTTCACTTTTAAAGTTGATATTTCTCTTATAATGATATTTTCTGCAAAGATATTCTTGTTGTGTTGAGTGTAGATCTCATATTTTTGTTGAAGTTAAAGCAGGAGAAGTAAATCTGGTGGCATAAGGTGGCGGATTGTGTGCCTCATGATCTTTTTGACCTCGATGGTGGCTCACCGGAGCTGCACACACACACACACACACACACACACACACACACACACACACACACACACACACACACACACACACACACACACACACACACACACAAATCACAGTCATCCAATAGGAAAGCTCCTGTCTGTTAAAACCGAGACTAACATTTTGAACTTAAGCTTGTTTTGTTCAATGAACTTAAAATAAACCTCCAGTTTGGGGTTAAAATAGAGCTTTGAGCAACACTTGAGTGTGTGTGTGCATGCTGCTGCATGTGTGCATGTGACTACGTCTGCAGTCATGCTATCATGCAAAGGTCTAGACTATAACACAGCTCATCACTGTTGGCACAGGGCTGCAGTCAGCGCAATGACATGCCCAGTTTCCTCTGGCACAACAGTTACAACACGCAGATGAAATGTGTTTGAAAACTCGACAAACTCTTCCTGCTTCAGTCCTGTGCAGAATTTCAGCTCTTATCACTTCTGTCGTGGTGTTGGTTGTTGTTCACTAATGTGAAAGGAAGTGGCTGCTGTAGCCGCTTTTTTTTAAAACCTGCTATCTGCTTGTGTGAATGACAGCCACTATCATCATCATCATCATCATGCTGTACTTCAGCGTGAAGACATGACCGCTCAAAGTTATTGATACCTGACTGTGTCACCTCGACAAGTTTTGGGGAACATGAGTGATTTTACACTGAGTGACGCAGGTTCACAGCAGGAAACTGATGCAAGAGCTCAGTTTCTTTAGAGCTCTGACTCTGTAACCATCTGTCTGTGTGTGTGTGTGTGTGTGTGTGTGTGTGTGTGTGTGTGTGTGTGTGGTTAATGTCTGTAAAATGTATGTAAGTGTACAGAGCATGAGTGTGCGCAGTTATATGTCATGAGTGTCACTGGATGCTAATTCAGGGATAAACTGAGAGTCAGAAGGTCATCCTGATGCAGTGGACTCTAAAATTTTCAATAAGTGATTTGACCTTTTTGTAAAAGGTGAGGGGACTGTTGTGATGGAGAGTTGTGATATACCGCTTGATGTGCACCCACCTACACACAGGAGGGAGAGAGAGAAACACCACATAGTTGCACATAGTTGATGTAAATACATTATATGTGTGTGTAAGTGAAGATAAGATATTCCTTTAAAAGTTCCACGGGGGGAAATTCCAAAATGACAGCAGCATAAATACAGATACAAAAAGAGGACATTAAAGGATAAAGAAACTTAGAGTTAAAAAAAAATCTATGTATGCTAGTTTTACCTGACAAAGTTTGACTCGACCTCACCTTCTTTTATTTTCTGTAAACATGTTTATTTAAACTGTAAAAATTAACATTCAAACATGGGTGCTGCAGGAACTTCCTTCACTTTTGGAGCCAGCCCTCAAGTGGACACTTAGGGAATTAAATTATTCAACACTGGAAGCTGCCACTTGTTTTCCCCTTTTGTTATATAATGGCAGTAAGCAAACAGACTTCAAATGCCAGAGCAGCGTGTTTCAACCAAGTGCTGGTTATGAAAACGGCAGGAACAACAAAAACAGTATTTAGTTTAAATGTTAATCATATTTACGATATTTTTTATCATTTTGATCTGCAAAAGCCTAAAAAAAACTTCATGAGGCTAAAGATACTGTGAATTCAGAAACGACACAATCATAAAAACATGTGCAAAAGTTTAAAAAACAGACTGAAAATGAAAAACTGTACTGCAAAGAGCCGAAACAACTGCATCTACAACAAACATGCTGCAAATACACAAATGATGCAATGTAAATATATATAAATTTTTCTTGAAAACATAATTCTAATCTATTTTATAACCGTCCATAATGGTTCCTCCATTAAAGTCGTGTGTTTTCTGCATGATGTTGGAGTCATAGAGAACTGACTGATACATTTAGTATCTTCTTCACTGTCCCATCATTGATATAACTGTTCATGTAACGCTCTTACAGACCTCTGTTAAAGAGTCTTGATAGTCAGCATTTATCTTTTTGAGGTCTCTCTCTTGTTTGGTTTATTTTTGTCTTTGCTTCATTTGTGTGTTGGACTTTTGCATGGGTTGATAGATCTGCATTATGTCTTCATTTACTGTCTGATGAGGACATTCAGGCTCTTGCAGATCCTCTTCTCTTGATAGTGATCTTATTTTCTTTCCACTGATATCTGCTGGCTAATGAGACTACAAGCAGCCTGTCAGCTTTACTTCGCTCTGCTTGGAAACAAAGAAAAAAAAATTGTCTGACTTTGTCCAAATAGAATAATTTAATCTAGAGTGTCCAGCTAATGTCTACCTGCTGTTTTCAATTGTTTCAGGTCTTTATCATAAGCTAATCTAACAAGCATAGATGGCTCTTGGATGAGTATAGATCTCACCGTTGAACTACAAAGCAGGAACCCTTTCCTATCCAAGTGTCAAACTGAACCAGTGAGTCAATCAAACATACAAACGTTGGTATTTTTTGTTTTTAATTTTAGGAACTACTTTTAAATAAACATAAATCCTGATTCGTTGGAAAATAGAAACCTCGCCAGAACATCTAATATTGCTTTTATCATTTCAACATCAATGTGAAGGGACTCCTTGTTCTTGGTGAAACTCTTTGAAGAGCAGCACAAAGATATCACTTCCTCGGTATCAATCAGCGGTTTGGAAGTTTTTCACTTGACGTCAGCTCCTTTTGAAAGCTGTCACTGAAGTCTCTCCTTTGAGGCACCGGGGGACCAGTCTCATCTCAAACTGAGGCCAGCCTCTGGCAGCTGAGGGTGTGGTGTGACATTGGCCTCTGTGTGTGGGCTCAAGGTTCCTCAACAGACTTTAACTTTCCACTAATCGAAGGAAGGGTGATGCGATTAAAAGTAGACCAAAGAGCCCTCAAACCTCTAGGTGGAGACCTTCAAAGTGTTGCCAGCCCTCCAGCGACGATGTTGCAGCTTCCTGTTTACCCAGCGCGCTCCTTCCTCTTCTCTTCTCTTCTGTCATCTTTCTGAAGAAGACACGGTGAATTTAAGAACAACTGAGCAGAGAGGGCTCAATCTAACCCATCGATCTCTGCAGTCCTACCACCCTGCTCAGACTCAGACCATCTCCACCTCTTCTGGGCCACGTAGACCTGCTTCCTCTGTTCTTTTTACTCTGTGTCAGACCACCACAGGATGAGCTCACACAAACTAGGTTGTCAAGGGTGATGAGTGTAGGCAAAAGGTGACATTCATGAAAAAACCCCTCAGTGTTTGACCTTCTGAGCTCTCAGTTTGCAGGTCCGTCTCCTGCAGACCACTCTGCTATTTCTGTGCAACAATCTCAGCTGCATTCATGCACCTTCCACAGGAAACTGGTCAGCTTAGACCGGCGGTTTCCTTTAGGTCTGAAACTGGGAACAAAAATAGTCTAGAGAGCAGCCCCTCAAACTTGATAGGCTGATGTTTATTCATATCAAAAAGAGGAAGTACTGCATGCAGCTGATCATAACGGTAATGTTTTAGTAATCTTCACAGCTCTGGCTGTGACACAGCAGGTTTGTCGGTTTTAATGACACTTTTACCGACCGCTGTCCTTTGGTGCTCTGCAGCTCGATCCAAGAGTGTGATACCTGGAGAGGGAAGCCCTGGCTCGGGCTCGCCGCGCTCCTCCAGATCCATGGAGAGGCCCCTGAAGGCCGGATGGCTGAAGAAACAGCAGAAGTCTTTGGTGAAGAACTGGCAGCAGAGGTACTTTGTGCTGAGAGGAAGCACGCTGACCTACCACAAGGATGACAAGGAGACCACGGTCCAGGTCAGACTCTCAGTTTATCTCAGCTCTAAGACTAAAGGCAACAGACCGGCACATGTTGATTCATTTAAAGCTTTTCCAAATACATATTATTTTATATTCATTTAAAGTAAAGTAATGAATGTAAGCTGGTAACAGTTTTAAAGTCTGTATTTACAGTGTTAAAGTATTTCTGTATTAATTTATAGCTTCAAAAGGAACCTCTTTTATTTCCAATCAACACCACAAACACCACTGTGTGGCTAACTTTGCACACTTCCTGTAAACAAACCAGATGGTGCTTGAAACCTTGTTAAAGAGATCTCCCACTAATGAAGGTCTGTCTGCTAAACTCTAATGTCTGTTCTCTAACGCTTGACCAGCTAAACGTCCATCCAGAACCAAACAGTCTTATCACGCTGAACTTCCTAACAAGATCATCTCGCCTCCGTGGTGCCATAAATAATTAAGATTCACAGGGTGGCAACACTTAAGAAAAGGCAAAAATCTGTACAAAAACCCTGTGTATAGGTTGATAATCATTTTAATAATATAAATGAAAGTGAAAAGGTCACTTCACATGACCATGTCTGGTTCCTGTTCATCTTTCTTCATCTGTATCCTGTTAAAGGTGCAGTGTGCAGTGTTTAGAAACATTCAGCAGAACAAACATGGTAGAAATTGGACCCAACATTCATGTCCATCCAGTACACTCTGTTTGTCTTTATACAGTGGACCTAAAAAGCATGCATACAACTAAAATAAAATACAAGGATGGTTCTAGAGACTAGATACCTTGAAATCTGACTGGCCAACTTTGTTATCACCCCTAAAATATGCAAAACAACTTGTTGTTTTCCTTGCAGTTTAATTGTACAAATTTTCTGTTATTGTTTCTTGATCGTTTGTCTTTGTCCTCAGTCCAAAATAATGAAGCTCGAGATCACAAAACTATTACTCTGGGTACTTTTTAAAGTAAAAGAAATTCTCTACATAGAATTTTCAATCGATCTCAAGTGTTTTCCCAAGATGCCCAACAAAGAAAAACTGGTCGAGACAAAATTCTATTAACAAAGATCCAATGTAAAAAAGATGTGATAAGATCAGACCCACACCCTGAAACACTGAGCAGCATTTAGCAAGTAACTGTGGAGAGGAAGAACACCCTTTAACAGGCAGAAACCTCGAGCAGAACCAGACTCATGTGAGACAGTCATCTGCTGAGACTACATTGGATTTACATCAAGAGAGATACGGTCAGAGGCAACAACAACAACAACAATATTACAAACAGATGTATGATAAAGAAAACTGATGCTGATAAATTAACTTCAGCTTTTCAACAGAGATACAAGTTTGCATGATATCTGTATGTAAGAAGTCTAAGCAGATGTGATCAGTGGAGATGTTAAGTCTAAACAAATGCTCTCCATTTGTGTGTAAGTCAAAAAAAAAGTGTGCACACGCCTCTAAAACCAAAGTACTGCAGAACAACTGAGGGCATTGGGCAATTTTCTTATTTCTGCAAAAGCTTCGCAATAAAACAAACCTTCTGTCCAAATGTACGACTCAGAGTTCGACTCTGTATTAACTCGGAGTGTGAACAGTTAAGGTTAATATTAACATACAGTGGTTAGTGAATGAATGTCACCGCAGTGGTGGCTGGTTCTAGACACGACCAACCTTTGGTTTTTGACATCACCCTGATGTGTATTTTCATTGTCTGTTGGTCGACAGGGAGTCATTCAGCTGCGGTTCAGCAAAGTCAAAGAACTCCCTCTGAACTCCGAAGAACCTGGGAAGTACCTCTTTGAGATCATACCACGTAAGCATGCCACTGACCCCTAAAAGGAGCCGAACTGATTCATTTCATCACTTTTTTGTTGCACATACATTAGGGTTAGGGTTGTTAGTGTCTCGTGTTTTTTAGCTGTAAGCTGAGACAGCTACAGAAAAGGCTTCCTTAAACATTTCCTGTATCAAGTGTTTCTAAATGATGGCTCTACTTCTGCTTTGATAACATGTTCCTCTCTGATCTCTGCCCTCATGACACAGCGTTTATACCAAAGTCAGCCAAAAACGAGACTAGCATCTTTGTCAGCTGTTGAAAGAAATGCTTGTCATTTTCTTCAGGGTGATGCACTTCCTAATAAAAACCGGTTATTTCCCAGGTTCAACAGGAGACAGAGAGCGATGTCCTTACGTGTTAATGGCGAACTCGCAGAGCGACATGGAGGAGTGGGTGCGGATCCTGCGCCGAGTCATAGGAGTACCAGCGAGTGGAGGTTCAATAAAGACCTATGCTTTGATAAAAACTGGATCTGTCTGCTTTCTAGCTGCTTCAACTACAAGCATCAATCTCACCTCTGTCCATCTCCCTCTGTCTCCTCTCTAAACCCAAAGTAGTCTCAGCAGATGACTGTCTCACATGAGTCTGGTTCTGCTCAGGGTTTCTGCCTGTTAAAGGAAGTTTCTCCTCTCCACTCTAACTTGCTAAACGCTGTTCAACAGTACAAGATTTGTGTATTTGTTGATCAAAAAGCTGGTCCTCAAACTTGTCATGTTTGTTCTGTCTGCTTCTCTTCAGTCTTTGGAAAGGGGCTGATGGACACAGTGACATATGAGCAGCGCTTTGGGCCTCACATGGTGCCCATCCTGGTGCAGAAGTGCGTGGAGTTCATCAAACAGCACGGTCTAGATGAAGAGGGTATCTTCCGCCTCCCAGGTCAGGACAACGCCGTCAAACAGTTCAGAGACGCCTTTGATGCAGGAGAAAGACCCTCCTTCCCCAGGTGAGACAAACTCATGCCAACTTCTGAGAAAAACTGAGTGTGTTGGTTCGTGTGCGGCTAATTCATCAAGTTTGCAAAGTGAGTTATTCTAGAAACCCTTTAAAGGAATGACTGGAAACTGATGATCTTTGGTTCGGTATAAGAAGATAACTGCTATATAAGGAAGGACAGACCGATCGATCATCAGCTTTTTACCGAGAAAACAAGTAAAAGAGAGACGCAGAGTGTCTGACGGATCTGTGTCTCAGATCTGGAGGCGATACCACATCCTGTTCAGGCAGGCACACAGGAGGAAGCCTGCATTACTCAACATCTAAAGCTCCCCTGACAGAGCACTGTCGACTCAAATCTCTATTAACTTCACATGTGAGGCTGCAATCCAGAGGTTTTACACTTCAGGTCAAAATGTTCTTTCCTTCAGACAGAAAATGCTGAAAATATGAGCAGATAACAAACCTTGCTTCTTGTGTGAATGAGCTTGTCCAGACTTTCTTGTCTGGGGTGATTCAGCTGGAACAAACACTCATGCATGGGTGGCACATGCACACACAGACACACAAATAAACATCACTTACTGACTTTATCATCCCCTGCAACAACTAAAATGAAGAAATTTATACCGACTCCTTACTCCTGGGATTATCTGATTTTTACTTTGGCTCCTCTGTGAAATAAGACACATCCCTCAAAATGCAGCTGAGTTTGTTCAATCCCTGTGAAAGCCAGTATTTTTACACTGAAATCCATCCATCATGGTTTTTGTCTATCTTTACCTGCAGTGACACAGATGTCCACACGGTGGCATCACTCCTCAAACTCTACCTGCGAGAGCTACCTGAGCCGGTGGTGCCCTGGACCCAGTACCAAGACTTCCTGGACTGCACTACGATGCTGGACTCCAGCAGCACAGAGGTACATTTAATGACAATGACTTCACAGTGAGGCTTGCACATGAACTTTGAGGGTCCATTAACTCTGATCTCTCCATCAGGTGTCCGCACAGGGTTGGGAAAAGTTGGAAAAACAAATCGCTCTCCTCCCCAGAATGAACTACAATCTTCTTAGTTATGTTTGCAGGTGAGTAGAAACTTTGAAGTATTATGAAGTACATTTAAGAGAAAAACACGAGCCAGTTCAAGATGGCGGCTCGAGTAGACGCAGCGACCTGGTGGCAATATTTTTTTTTGTAGAATGGAAGGGGAAAGTCCCGCCTCCTTCGTCTCTGATTGGCTAGAAAAGCTGGAAATGTCATCACGATCTGGTATGATTTGTGGTTTGACAGATCATACCAAGAGATCTGCAGTCAAACTTATTCAAACTTTAATCTACAGGGACTCACAAATTCCCCTCTGGTTACAATCACTGACATTTGCTTCAATTCAGAGTCATTGAAAAGAGACGCTGATCGTGTTTTTGCAGGTTTCTGTTTGAGGTGCAGCTTCACTCCAAAGTGAATAAGATGAATGTGGAGAACTTGGCCACGGTGATGGGGATCAACCTGCTCAAACCTCAGATAGAAGACCCAATCACTGTGATGAAGGGTAAGAGAGCAACACTGACACTCCTGGATGAACATGCAGTTGTTTTCAATCATTTCCGTAACTTTTATCCAAGTAGCCCAAGAAGCAATACTTCAAAATAAAAGCATGAAAAACAATCATTTTGTATTTCTCCAAGAGGTTTGATCACAAGACTTGTCTGTTGCTCCATCTTTGTTTTGCTGTTCCTCAATTTGACTGATTATGTTGTTTTATATTCAAGTTTTCCATTTAATTCACTGTAACATCCCAATATTTTAAAGCCAATGATACGATAACGTGCCAATGTTCTGGTCTCCTGACTTTCAATACCTGTATCTCACTGTCTGAGAAACACTAGACCTCCTTATGTCGTGTATTTACTAATTTATGAAGCAATGATATGTAGCAATACTGCAGCGTGACCTACATCCTTCTCTTTTTCATATGATGTTCAGTAAAAGTGAAACAGCCTTCACAAAAGATACCAGAAGCCTATCTCCTTTAGAAACTCCAGTAATTGAAGTACTGATAAAGCAAAAACTTTGTGCAACTTCTTCAAAAGTCTGATGAACTCGACCAAACCCACATTAAAGCCACACCCACCGAGCTCAAGATCGAAAGCAGCTAGAATTTGCATAAAAACCTTACGACTGGATGTGTTTATCATAATCTTTCACATCTTTGTTTGTTGTTCTTCGCAGCAACTCCCCAGATCCAGAAGCTGATGACAGTGATGATCAGACAGCATGAGACTTTGTTTCCGCTCTCTAAAGACGTGCTTCCCCCCTCTCCCTCAAACAAGGCTGACAGCCAAAAGAACACTCCCCGAAGCTTTGTGGGCTGGGAGTCCGCAGAGGTAAGGGCAGCGGACCACACATCGAGCTCCTGTTCTGTTTGTGATGATCTGAGTTTGGACGGTGTGATGTTTCATAAGACGTATCCTGAAACAGGGTGAGGCAAAGACCAACAGAAAACATGCATCTGGTCTACTCCTACTGCAGGATTACATAGTAGAATAGGATAATGATGTACTGAGACCAAGAGGGATCATGTCCCACAGTCTTTTCTGGGAGTCCCTGAGCTCCATCATGCTGTAGGTTCCTCTGGATCGCTGCTGCAGATGTTTTACTGCCTGTTTTCCAGCTGCTTCAACTACATGCATCAATCTAACTTCTGTCCATCTCTCTCTTTTTGCATCTCCCTCTATCTCCTCTCTAAAACCAATGCAGCAAAAGCAGATGACTGTCTGACATGAATCTGGTTCTGCTCGAGGTTTTTGCCTCTGAACTCTGCATACCAATCATACCGTCTTTTTAAAGCACCCTCTGAATGTTAGGAATATACTACACCCCTGACCACAGATTTTAGACCAGGTTAATGCACCACCTTTGTGCTTCACTGCACTTAGTTTAAGACCGACATACCCACAGGTGTGAACGTAGGTGCAAGTTTACTCGCTGTCAAAACAACACCGGAGCTGGGTGCAAAATTGTACGGAAAATGATGTGCTGCATGTGAAAACACTTGGTTCAAAACACGGTCCAAAGATGGCAAAAATTATGTATGTACTTTTACTTGTAGGTTGAAGTTGTTTTACTTATTTGTCTAGAGTAAGTCTAACAGACACAGGGGATGGCTCCTAAGTCGAGAAAGCAGCCGAACTGAGACAGAATCTGGGCTGTCAGCTGCTGCAGAGGGGGTCAGGTTAAACTCTTTCTAACAAACTCCAATTCTCTATTGATGCACCCTCTGAATGTTAGGAATATACTACACCCCTGACCACAGACTTAAGGCCAGTTTGATGCACCACCTTTGTGCTTGACTGCACCTAGTTTTAAGACAAATATACCCACAGGCGCGAACGTAAGTGCAAGTTTACTCGCTGTCAAAACAACACAGGAGCTGGGTGCAAACTGTATGGAAAATGATGAGCATGATCCAAAGATGGCAAAAATTAGATGTACATTTACTTGTAAGTTGAAGTTGTATTAGGTATTTGTCTAGAGTAAGTCTAACATCCACAGGGGATGGCTCCTAAGTCGAGAAAGCAGCCAGAGAACCAAAACAGAATCTGGGCTGTCAGCTACTGCAGAGGGTGTCAGGTTAAGCTCTTTCTAACAAACTCTATTTCTCTGTGGAAGAAAACTTTCACAGCTTTTCTTTACCGGCAAGAGGCTGATTCATTTTTTGATTTACTCTCAGGTGTGATTCATTCATAGTCTTTTGTCTGCCGCTCACTGCTCAGTCAGATCTCAAATAAAAAAAGCCAGTGATTTGTCATGAAGTTGTAAGTTTGGCTCTGTTGAAACATCTGACTACATTTCATTCATAACTATTCTTTCAAATGATTTTGATCATCTCCTTTAACTGTGAGAAAGACTGAAGCTGTCCTTTGTTGCACGGCTGGTGTTGTGAACAAAGGTGATAAAATGTGGTCGAAACAAAGCTGAACCGTGAAGATGAACTTGTGTCGGAAATCTTACACACAGAAAATACAACCAGTTGTGAAGCCTCTATACTTTGCATTGGTTTCTTCTGGCATAAGCTGTAATACATGTTAATTATTTGCTGATAATGGTGATTAGAGTGGATTTACTCAATCGTATCTTGCTGTGTGTTTGGTTACGATTTTACTTTCTGGAAATTTTCTCTCGCATGAGCTTGCAAATACTTTGATGGTTGAGTTTGAGTGGACAGAGAAAGAAATGGCTTCATAAAACATCTACATTTTTATAAAAACTCATGCCCTTTAAATGACAGATCTGAGTTTGTGTTTTATTCAAATGAACTGTATGTGTTAAGTAAACTCTATATTTGTAATGAATCTTGGTTTCTCACCTCAGATGGGTGATGCATCTCTCTCTGAGTCTCCAGAAGAGGAGGAAGACAATGACAGTCCAGGACCAGACAGAGGGAACTTTAGCCCCCTAAATGTACACCAGGATCCTTTCCCCCCCTCTACAGACGACTGGTCTGGAAGTCCCCGCAAACGCACCCAGACTCTCCCCACCTTCAACTGCCCCCTCACCGGGATGGCTGCCAAAACCGACGCCCTCAACAGATGGAGGATCCAGGAGAGCGTGGACGAAAACAGCGGGACGTTATCGGAGGACATTTTTAAGATCCTGGACCTGCGCAGCACCGGCTCATTGTTTGGAAAGTCTCAGTTCGGTACAAAGGAAGGAGAGGATAGACTAACGGCCAGGAGAGGAAGTGACAACACAGGATCTTCTACCGCTCCCACACAGAAACCGGACAGTGACTCCAGACCTGCTCCGGTGTTGTCTCGTCAGAGGAGTGTAGAGAGCCTGACGGAGAGCAGCTCGGCTCTGCAGGTCAATAACAAGACCGAGCAGAAGAAAGACGGCCAGGCTCCTGCAGACAGGTAACCTCAGTAAACCATGACTTACTTTTAATTCAACTCAAAAAACTCAAATTAAAATCATCTGGAAACTCTACAGCAATAAATAGTTCAACATTGTCCCTTTAAAACAGTATCCAGGTGTGCCTCAAGGCTTCGTTCTGGGACCACTGCTCTTTTCTCTATCCATTATCAAGCTGTCAGAGAGCTGTATGTATTGGCTGCCAGTTGTATGTTAACGATGTAGTCATTTATGTTTTTCCAAATATCTCAGAAATGTCTGCGTAGTCTTTGAGTCGACAGCTGACATGAATCTCCCATTGCTAAAAAAACAACTTCTCAACTTTGATTAAAAAATAAATCAGTTTTTACTGTGCGCCTCATTTCCAACAGCCCATCCAGAGACAAGGACTGCAAATAAACCATGTCTAAAAGCCTTTTACACACTGTTTAGGTTGCACTCGAGTTAGATGTAACAATGGCTACACGTGTTGTCCCTGTTAAGTCAACAAATAAATAAACATGATTGTTTCAGCAGCTATTTCGAAACACTTTCAATCCTAGAAGGAGCAGACAGACAAGAACAGGCCACTGGACAAGAACCAATAAAATGACATTTAACTCCAGCAAAACTGATTCATATCAAAAACATATGAGGCAATCTGACTGTGCTGGCAGGATGTTTATTTTCTGAATCTTACTCACACAGTCCCGACATTTGGACTCAGTTTAGGTAGTTTTGCAATAGTTGAACACGGCAGGATATTGATCCCAGAAGTTTTTACTATTCTTAAGAACCCCGGGTCTCTTTCTGTTTTCCTTTCAGTCTAGAGCATGAGAACAAGGAGCTGAAGGCCACAATAGCAGAACTCCAGTCGGCTCTAGAGGCCGAGCGCCGCCGGGTCGCTGCTCTGGAGATCTGCCTGAGAAACGCCGAGCGAAGCAGGGATGAGGCGCAGAAACGAAATGAGGAGCTGCAAAGAGACATTCAACAGTTCCTCACCAAGAAATCACAAGCTCCCACCTAAGAGCTCCTGTCAGACCCACTAGAATATAAATGTAGGACTTTGTTAACTCAGAACAGCTAATATCCATAAAATGGTTTCAGAAAAGTGATAATGTCCTTCTTTGGAGGATTGTTTCAGTTTGACCCTCAGTTATTTAAACCTGGAAGAAAGTGTTGAGAAGGAGCCTAAAAAGGCTTATTTATCCGTTTATCCGGTGCCCTGATGATATGTATGTTTCACAGCACACACAGGAAAAACAGCGCAAAAGCTTGAATGATAGATTATTGAACTCATTTGAAATGAGTGTTTAAGAGACGCTGAAAAAACAACATTTGCTTGGACTGATCCCTTCAGATCACAGGTCAGCTGGACTGAAAATTCTGCTTTATATGAATGTGGAAGAATGTCCATAAAGTTTGATTTGATTGGTAAATTAATGAAACAGCGGAAAGTTACGTGTTTGAATGTGCCTTGAATAAATGTTATCCTGCAGGTTTAAAAAAGATTTAGTTTCATTTTTCACAGAATTTTGACTCAAAGCTCATGAAAACCAGAAACCCAGGACCTCAAATTATTGGAATATGATCAAAAAATGATCAAAAGAAAATATAAGATCTGAAAACTGTTTTCATTCATAGACTCATCCATGAATTCCTGCATTAATGGTATGGAAGCTCAATTTGCTTTCAAAGTGACCTGCAGCTTTAGGTCTGGTGTTTTTTATCGTCCATATATATTTTAGGGTATTTCCAACCTTACAGTTCATGTGAGGAACCTATTGGATTGTGCCAACTTTGGCGCCCCCCTGTGGACAACACTCCGCCTCCTTTTACTTTGCCAACCTTGTATGATGCATGTAGTTTGTATTTCTTTACAAAAAAAGAAAAACAAACTACATGCACAGTTAACTTTAGCCCAGTTTATAACCTCTTTTGGACCCTGTAATTGGCCCACTGTCCCTGTCCTTGTCCCCCTTCTCAATGGTAAGTGTTCATAGATGTTACGCCCCCTTTTGGCCAGTCACTGTACTGTCTCCCTTGTGGAACAAGTTTGCAAGAGGCTGACTAGTTATAAGCCTAATGGTGAAAACATGGACAGCTTTATAGCTCTGTACCTTTCATGCAGACTCTACAGAGACACAGAGTGCACACATGCAAGACAAATAGACCCCCAATGCATTACCTTAAATCAAAGTCCAGCTTTCACACAATGCATCAGTTTTTAACATCCACTACACACACTGAGTGTGGATTTTGCCTTTGTGAAATAGAAAGGCTGCTGTGTCAGCAAACATGGCGGTCAGTGTCTTGCCACTGACTGCCATGTTTGCTTTAGGAGGTCACTTAGAGGTGTACGCATGAATGTTTAACTGTCTCTCCAAAGTACAAACACAAATGTAAGTCATATAAAAACAGAGATATTTGATATCATCCTCCCTTGAATCAACATTTCATATATCCTGAAGTCAGTAACACAGATCATGATACATCGTACTGACTATACTGCAGTGGGTATGTATGTGTGTGTGTGTGTCTGTGTGTGTGTGCATATAAGGACAATGCCATTATCAAGCCTTCTTACGTCCACCAGGAAGACGTGACAGTCTGCTGCAGCAGTAGTTTAACAGAGAGACAGATAACGAGAACGTCTGTCAGCCGTCAGTCTGGCAGATGAGTGGCAGAAGCAGGAAAAGCTCATTCCTCTCCATCTCAGTGACGCGCCACAATCAGGAGTGTATCTGCGGGTCACGCAAAGAAGCTCAGGAATGAAGGACAGTTGTGTAGTGGAGCGAGGGTTCAGGTGACGTATATATGCAACGGGTACTGAACTCTGTGGAGAAGTCAGAGTGAGTCATGCTGAGGGTTTTTTGGAAAATAACCCACCAGGATTTGGGTAAGAGGTTAGAAGTACAGTATATTCACACAAACAGTGGTGGATAAAGTGAACACTTTTATGTTTAAAAATCAAATCATATCCAATCCAATCTACTTTAGATATATAGCACATTTTAAGAAAACATTTAAGTTTACCAAAGTGCTGCAGAGTAAAATGAAAAGAACAAACGCTGCAGAAAACATCAAGAGGAAATAAATAAAAGCATGTAAAAAAAAAATAATAATAATAAAATCATATCTCAAAACATTTAATAAAAGTCTGTGCCTTCATTATACTTCTCTTTTTTCACTTCTTTTTAAAATGTATTACTTGTATTATGACATACCATCTTATTTTCATGAGTCTTAATATCAACAATTGGAGAATATAAATATTGGGCTGACGACTTATGATTTTAACACACCCATTTTTTATACAAATTTTTTTGGAGAAGACTTTTTGACGATCAAATCTTAGTTTTTTAGAAAAAAAATCTTTAATGAAATAATATTAATAATAATTAAAAGAAACGTTGAATAAAACAAGGTCTACCAAACTCATCAGGTGAATCTTTTCAAAACAAAGTGTCTCAATGTGGCTTTTCACTGGACCTTTACTGTGTCAGCTGATCAAAGAAACAGCCTCTGATTGGCTGAGAGACCAAAACAGAGCTGGAACAATTGGAGTGACATTATTTCACTCTAATTTACACAAAAAACCATCACGGATTACTTTTGTTTTTTGACAGGGTTGGATCTGGGAAGTCTCACCGCTCTTCTCTGTGAAAAAGAAAAGACCCTGGATGTCGCAAAAACACGCAAGTTTATCCCCTGAAAGTTGCAAGTCGCCACAACATACTATAAAAATTTAGCCAGATAGAAGTAGGCCTACAATTTTTTGTAGCAGTGTTGCAAAACAACTACTCTTATAATTTCTCCAGTAACTCAAGTACAAGCAACAACAGAGTAAATCTGATGTGTTTCTTTCCACAAACATCAAATTTAAATGTTGCAGTCTCCTTTATTAAATGAAACTCATCAGATGTACCTCCTGTTTTCTGTTTCTTACTGATTCATTAAAAGCCTCCAGTGAACAGATCACCCATTTCAGCCACTTTTGCAGGAATGAGACGACACAGAAACCATCTCAGCAATCACACAAGGAAAGTGATTGTTCGTTTGTTGAGTACAAACATAAGAATTATTCTGTTTTTTTCCTTTTTTGTTTGTTTGTTTTATGGGTTACTTCAAATGCTCTTGAGCGTCGCCTCGGTATCTTTCATTCTTGATCATTACGGCCTCACACCTCATTGCATTTCAATTTCAGCTGTCTAATAGATATATCCTGTTACATTCAACAAGATCAACAGACACTTGGCATATTATGTCAAAAAGTAACGCTCAATGGAGCTCAGACAGCAGCCTGCAGAACTCCACCATTTACAGGGAGTAAACAAATGAAGAATATCAACCCTGGAGCATGAAGCATCCACCCAAACAAAATAGCACTTCCACAAGGAAGAGGCTACAGGACAATGTTTACAAGATCCTCATTAAGAAAAATGTGAGATAACACACGCTCATGTGCATCACACAAAGTTGAAGGCACGCACACAAACACACACACCAGCAAAGAGACCACTGAGCAAAACAGAGCCCACCATATCAGAGATAAGAGGCTGAAAGAAAGGGCTGGAAAAGTGGAGAGCAGAGTCCAGAGAGGGACTGACAAACCAAAGGACACGACAGAGATGACTCGGATGGACAAAGGCAAACCTCGGCCACCCTGTCACCGGAACCGCAGCGCGATCACAAAGGACATCAAAAGGTGTGCATGAGAATAAATGCTGTGAAATCTGGAGGAGAGCGTCAGGGATCCATGCTCCTGCAGAGAACGGACCTTGTAAGGGTCAACAACACTATTGTCTGCCTACAGAGAACCAGAACTTTTTGGACTGATCTGTTTGAGTCTACCCTCTGAGACATTTTGCTCAACAAACTCAACCCCAAACAAACCTAAGGAGCAATAGAATAAAAAGCTGCTGATTTTTTTTCCATCCATGGCGAGCATTTGGGTCTCTGTACTGGGAACCATCTGCAGCTCCAAGACTCTGTTCCTGCTGTTTTCAACGCTGCTGCTCCAGGGGCCCCTCGGTGGACAAAGCAGCCCCATTTCCAATACCCATCGGAGGCAGCGCCCTGCACCGGGGCTGGGGGACGGACATGGAGGGGTGGTGGATCCATCGCTGCTGGAGCAGGACAGTAACATGAACATGCAGAGCCTCCTGGAGAGCCTGAAGGAGCAGTTTCTACGGACTTTCAACCTGTCTGGCGTGGGTCCTCCTCCACTGCCGCCTGGAAGCACCCGGGAAGAGCCTCCTGAGTACATGATGGAGATTTACAATCGCTTTGCTAACGACCGCACCGCAATGCCCACTGCTAACATCATCCGCAGCTTCAAAAACGAAGGTAACAATCCTCCTCCTGTCATATATACACTCTTTTTTTCCTGATATTCATTTAAATTTAGTTTGTATTTTACTCATCAGACTTTTGGTTCCCTGTGCAAAATATTCTGAATTGGGTCTTTCTGAATAAATGTAGTTTGATGAAGCTTTTTATATGATCATGGAATTGCACAAATAATAAGTAAGTGGGTTAAATCCAAGCTTTAGTCTTGACCTCGATTCCTGCACTTCCCATTACTGCATATTTTTCATTTTGAGATGCTCCTCCTTACAACTTGATAGAAAGATGTTATGAGTTTGTTGCAAACTCTGACTGAAAACCTCTTTAAAAGATTGGACTAAATGTACAGAAGTCGAACTAAAACTGTTTTTCTCTCCCCAGACTCATCCCCGAGTGTTATGGGTGCAGGAGGAGCGAGATGTCACCCACTCCTCTTCAACGTTTCAGTCCCCCATCATGAACGCGTCACATCGGCCGAGCTTCGCCTTTACACCCTCGTCCAAACCGACCGCCACCTCTATGCCGGGGTGGACCGGAAGGTCACTATTTACGAGCTAGAATCCCACGATGAAGATGTTAACTCCACTGATGAGAACCCCGTGAGAGGTGACGCATTCAGAGGGGGAGGGGAGCGCATCGAGTTGGTGGAGTTGGCTTCTCGGCAGGTCTACGGCACAGATAACGGCTGGGAGGCTTTTGACCTCACGGCTGCCGTTCAGCGCTGGCGCAAATCCGATCTTGGGACTACCCATCGGTTGGAGGTGCGCATTGCTAGCATGGCTACAGATGACAGCGAGGGTCTAACAGAGAACAAAGATGGGAAACCACCTGAAGGAGACATGAAGATCGACATCAGCCCCGATGAAAAGCACAAACCTCTGATAATTGTTTTCTCCGATGATCAAAGCACCGACCACCGCGATGACAAACGTGAGCTGAACGAAATGATCGACCACGAAAACTCGAATATGGTTTTGGATGATGACTTGGGGATGGGCCTTAATGAGCTGTGGGGAGAGCTGGGGAGGGACAACGAAAACAGAGCCGAAGAAGACGAGCCTGATGAGGAAGATCTCATCCAAATGCGCTCCAATCTTATCTACGACTCAGCGTCCCGCATTCGCCGAAACGCAAAGGGAAACCACTGCAAGAAACAGTCTTTGTACGTGGAGTTCAAGGATATCGGGTGGGACAGCTGGATCTTGGCGCCCACTGGTTACGAAGCCTTCGAGTGCAGTGGCATTTGTTCTTTTCCACTGACTAAGCATGTCACGCCCACCAAGCATGCCATAGTCCAGACTCTGGTCAACATCAACAGTCCTCAGAAGGCGGCGCGGGCCTGTTGTGTTCCCACCAAGTTGGACCCCATTTCCATGCTGTACCTGGATGACACAGGCGTGGTCACCTACAAGTACAAGTTTGAAGGCATGGTGGTGGCTGAGTGTGGCTGCAGATAGTCCATGCTTTAAGGACGGTTGAACTCTTTGTAGAGTCTTACTTTAAGAGGAAAGAGACAGAAATCAATAAAACCTGGAAACTGGTCTTGGCCGGAACTGTTTTCAGCAAAGGGATGTTGCTCAGACCCTTGCGAGGGCGCCACACCGGTGACACATGAAAGTCTGTGTCACTAAATAACAATCACAGAAAAAAGTTCTTCATCAAACTTTGCCAAAGGCATGTGGAGAGACAGTGTGACGCCAAGGTATGCTCATACCTTCAAGAATAACGAGGACTAAAAGTTCCTGAAGGACCTAACCAAGCGCTCCCTGCAGTGTGTGCGGCCTTGTGGGAACCAGTGGGCCAGTTGTCCCCCTCCCTTTGACATCTGTCTTCCTCTCCACTTATCTCTGGCCTCCCCACTTGATGCAAACATTAATCAGCACTTCATGTGTCCCGGCGCAGTGACATGACCTCCCTGAGGCAACCTGACAAGACATGAACTCTCCAGGCCCACCTCCTGCCTCCTGATACGTAGGCGCTGCTCAGAGGTCTTAGTGGCAGGGTTATCTACCCCAACTCTGTTTCCCACTTCACATGCCTCTTTTCCACTCCCTCGAGCAGCAGCGATAGCAAGGTGTGGGGGGTTGAGAAACATGTATGCCACCACTCAGGCTTAGAGAACTGGATGCCCTTCTGGGTGGACTTTGGGAGGTGGAAAGGGGGGAAGCGGACGGGACAAGGGGTGCGGAAGTTGCCCCACATTCCTCGGTAACATAATATCTCTCACTCCTCAGACATGTCGTCTATCACCTTTATGGTAATATTTGTCTTTTTGGACAGTTTTTATCTGAAAGCTAAACGTCAGAGTGGTAAATGGGACACTTTGCTACTTTTCTTTGTGGATTTGCGAGAGAAATACAGTTCGAGTTTCTTTTGTTAAGAGCCTTTTGATACCTCTGCTGCTTTATGTCAAATAAAACACTATTTATTATTCTAATTTATTGTTTTTTACAACAGAGAAGGAAACTATGTGTGCAAATTTCCAAGTTACTTGGTGTCGAGCAGGTTATTAAAGACTTTATTTTGTTGGGAAGAGAAACGGTCAATTTCATAAGCAGTTTGATAAGTTTCCCTTAAAACGTCTCCCTCATCCTTACTGTTCCAGGAAGCTAAAATAAAACTGTGATTCATACTGTTATCTGGTGAATATTTGGAGTTCAACACCATTTGTTGATTTTTTCTGAAAAATAATTATCATTCAAAAGATCTTGTGCTGTCAACGTTTCGTTTGATGGTTTGAGGAGGAAGCTGCCTGAGCAGTGATACCATGCATTGTTGACGTTCAGATAAATTAGCCGGTCAGTATCAGCCGAGGGGTCACAGTTCATATATGACCCAAACAAAGACCCATGGGAAACTGAGTGGAAGGCCTACTAATGAACGAAACGGATAGCCTGACAGCTAACAGATGCAGCTGTGATGGAAAACCTGTCCATGAAGAGAAAATGTGAACTATCCCCAAACAAAGATTCACACTCCAGAGTCCCTTACAGTTCTCCATGAATATCTTTGACGGTAAAAATGTTTTTTTTCTTCCTGTACCAACGCACACTAAAAATGTAAATAAAGGTTACAGATCTGATTTAAGCTCTGGTGTGTTTCACTGTTTCTTTGTTGTTAATTTGTCACTTTTTACAGAGATATCCTCACTGTAAGGATTAGACCGCAGGAGTTCAGATTCGATCACACTAAAACCACTTTTATCTACACTGTTAGTTTAACGACTCAGAGGCAAACAGTTCAGCTGACGACATATTAAATCTGATGCTCTAAAGTCCATTATTTCACAATAGTTTTTGAAGCCCATATTAACACTAAAAAGCTTTATTTTAACACGTGTCTTATTCAGGGAATCAAATAAATGGGACAAAATGTACCTTATGATCTTGTTGCTTCACGATCGTGGTCTCACGCCATGACTAAGAGGAAAGAGTGTTTCATCTAGAGTTCTGTCATGATTCACACACTTTGAGATATTACTTCACCGTTATTTTAGCCTGATTAGCTGCATGTGTACTGGGAAGATATTACGATACCACTGGAATGTCTTTCTTCATTAATACAGAAGCAGAAGGTGGGATCCTGAAACTGAAACAAAACAATTCGTCATCCTATTAAAATAATGGCTTGAGTCATTTTTTGACAAAAATGAGTTTTTGGCCTAAATTTAGATGATTTTACCAGAGATGGCCAGCATAATCAAGAAACTATTTAGGCCATAAACTCATTTTCGTCAAAAAATGACTCAAGCCATTATTTTAATAGGGTGACGAATTTACATTTTTGAAGCTTCTGTGAGGAACTTTTGGTGTGTGTGTTGGTTCAAGCGCCCCCGTGTGGACAAGGCGATAACCCTCATCTGTCGTCCTCCATGTATGAAAGTGGTCTCTTTTAGACAAAAAGGTCATGCTGTTGTATTTTTACAGTTAAATATTCAACTCAATGTGAATATTTGCCATAAAAAAGTAAAAATCAAAGCTGCTGTCAATCAGCTGATTGAACACCCGCTCCTTCACGGCGGTTTCAAGCATCAAAATTTACTACAGATAAAGTTTCTGCCATGTAAATGATAATCGTCTTGGTTTTTGAAGGTCATTAAGTATTAGTTTGAGCTTCTCACAGTGCCTTTAAATAAAAAACCAGTTGAATTCAGACTTTAATCTCATCTGGTCGAAAGTATTAACAACAAAAGTCCTTTAATAGAAACCTTGTATGAGGGCTAAATCTTTTGTAAGCAATAAACTTTTTAAACTTTTCCCACTCATCCTGGTCTAAAGTTACTGATTTGGTTAAAACAAAAATGAAAGTGACAGTAAGTCGTTCAAAATACATCTTAACTGGATTATGCAGTGATTTCAGAGTAACAAAGACATGTTTGTTTAGACTCCTGCTGCTCTTTTGGTTTCTGTTCTGCAAAATGTCAGTGCTTTTTTTTACGCACTCTGCAGCACGGATCTATCTGTTACACTTCTACATGTTCTGAACATAGAGTGACTTCTCCTCTCCATGCATTCAAACAGTATGTTGTAACAGCGTTTAGGGCTAATGACTGTAATATAAAGGAGTCTGGCAGCGGCCCACTAATGACAAGTGCACTGAGATGTGTCAGAAAGCAAACAGGACATCTTTGGCTGACCTCTCTTGTAAGATGAGAGCAGAGGTCGTCTTAAAATAGTTGGAGAGCAGAGGTCAAGAATCTCAGCCTGTTACAGTGAGAACAGCTGGGTTCAGCGTTGAGAAGCTCACTAATTATATATTTACAGAATGCTGCAGGAAATATGAATCTGGCCTTTGTCAGGAAACACGATGAAATGGGAAGTGTTCGGTTTTTGCTCCAAGCCAGACGAGAATGTGTTTTTTTTTTTTTTGTAGTTGTTGTTGTTTTGGCAGAGAGGATTCATGTTGTTCTTCAGTCAGCCAGCGTACGTGATTTTCTGTGAAGCACACCTAACTGCAAGTAAACAAACCAACCACAGCGAATCCCGTGCTTGGTGTCTTGACGTCAGCCGCAGGACCTGGATGTGTGTCACGCTGTGATTGTGTGTTTTGGTGTGCCACCCTAAGAGGCACGACTCGCCCTAGAACTGACGTGGGTCTGTAATAAGGCCTGATTGTTTCCGTTTTGGGTCACGTGCTTATCAGTCCATCTCTAGGAAGACAACCACCCAGTGCTCATCTCTGACTCTCTCTCTCTTTTACAAATTTCCCATGAAAAGTTCACTCAACGTTGGTTAATACTTCACCACCGCAAGGGCGCCTCTGATTTTCACACACCTTTAATGACTCTTTATTTTGACCCTCGTGTTGCGAAATTTCAAAAAGCCCAATGAATGAGCCATAATGAGGAGCAGATGTTTGAAGCCGTTCACATGCTCATACAGGCCAAGTAATATCACACACGGACTGATTTCTCTCTGCTACACTGGGCTCTGTGACTGTCCAGACAAAAACGAGCAAATAAAGTAAGTCAATCAAGAAATGTAATTTATATATTTTAGTTACAGGTCCAAATCATATATATGTACAGTATATATGTAAGCCTGTTATCCCTCTATACTGAACTGCACTTGGCTCCCACTGGTGAGTCATTAGGTGTTTGGCAACTTATCTCTCTGATGAAGTGAAGGAAGGTTGAGCAATCCTTGTGTGAAAAGATCCTGTGGCACAGTCCCAGCAGGAGGGAAAATGGAGGATGCTGGGTTTACTGGATGTTAAACACACTCATGACAATAACTCTTTGGTGAAACAGATCACCGCAGTGAGAAGGTAACTTTACCGCAATCTGCGACTGAAAGCCTTCTCCTCTCTGGAAACATGTGGCTCTGATTGTTTGCTCTGATCCCTGTGGACCCGGTTCGTGTGAGAGACGGCTGAGGCGCCCGAGGCAGACGAATCACTAACCTCAGCAGCGTAACAGAAAACGTGTAAGACCTCTCGTGAAGACATGCGTGTAAATTTCCAGCAAAGACGTTTTGTATAAACAGTCCTGACAAAATATTCACCACGACAATATGGTGCAAATCTCAACAGCGACAGCTTTGGCTCGAGGAGGAAAGTTCACTTTACATATTTACTCTGTTGTTATATAACAGACAAGTCCAGTGATATGTTAAAGCAACTTACTCTCCATTTAATATTAATATTTAAAAAAATCAAAATATTTTGTCATATTAAATTAATAGTTTGATATCTTGGGAAATAAATCAATTTTCTTCCGTGAGGACGGGACGACTCTCATGTTTGTACTGTATAAACATAAATCCAGCAGCCGCTTTAACTCAGCATGGAGACTAAAAACAGAGGAACATGATCCAACCACAGGGGCCCAAAGTGCACCTATAAATGTGGAACATCGGTTAGACAAAAGAGTAATTTTACTCATGTGGAGGATTATTTTTGGACAAGGGCTGAAAAAGTTACTGAAGAGCACATAGTAATCTCAGTTGTGTGGGAAAGAAACTTCAAAAGTACTTTCACTTTCTTCCTCTGTTTTTTCACTCTCCTGGTTCTCTGTGTATAGACTATATCACTCTGACGACACTCTCAGGGTGAATAAGCCTCATTTTGTTATCATGTTTTATCACCATGGACTGTATATGACAAGCTCACAGTGGAGTTTATACTGACAGCAGCTGCCAACTTAATATCTTTGAAATTAATCTGTTTATTAAAAATGTACTCCTTCACAGGATGTGCAAAGAAAGAAAAGAGCCCAAAAAACAAAACAGAACCTTGTTAGATTTTGTTAATTTTTGGTGAGTTTTACTGAAAGACAGTGATGCAAATGTGGTTTCTGGTACTTCTGCAGACGGCCTCAGGCGGGCGCTGTGGGAACTGCAGTTTCTGGTGCATCAGCTCCACTCTTCATGACCAGTCTTTGTGTGAGAATGTCTTCATTTGAAGAGGACAGGATACTGGACAGAGTAGAAAGTACAAAGCAGGGGGCCACAGAGTAGTAACCTCCGTGGGGCCCACATGTAGACTGGTTATCGTTTGAGGAGAGCTGAAATGAGTTTTTTACGACTAATAAAATAAAGCATGTTAACAATTATGAGTGGGGATCAGGGATCAATAACTGGGTCTATTAAATATTTTAAAAGTGTTTTTCCAAATCCGATAATCAATAACATTTGAGTTTATGGAGTCTGCTCTCAAGTATAAAGGGTCCTTTGAGTTCAATTGCATCTCCTCAGTTAAACCAACGGTGCATGCATACTTATAGACTATCTAATAAAGTTTTTGAACAGGAATAGATATAAAAAAACACAAAGAAGAATTTTTGTAGTCAGCTGCAACAATGGCTGAACGTGCAGAGGTCCAGAGTGAGGCTGCATGATACTGAAAATGAAGACATGAATGAAGTGCAGTTTATGCTGCAAAATAATTTCTTGCAAGAGGAGGAACAAAACCTCCAAACAGAGCGCAATAGCATCAAACCAAGACAAAGTACCTGCAGAACATTTCTCTGTCTGCAGCATGAAACAACTCCAAAAGCTGCCATCCTCCTCTTCGCCCAAAGCATGCTGGGTAAACACAGCCAGACTTTAGAGCGAGTCCCATTAGTTAAAAATCATAATCCGGTGTTGAATTCAGTGTTTGAAACTATGTTGACATCAGCAGGCTAAAAGCTAGTTAGCTAACTATCCAAGTGACACAAGATTACTCTGTGAGACGTTCAAGGAGAGTCAATGACACCTCATTATGATGTGTTTAAATATCACACCCAAAATAGAGAAAATGGTACAAATACGAATGTGTGAAGTGAAACGATATAGAAAAGACTCGAGAGTGTATTGATAAGGATTCAAATCATTCAGGAGATTTGATAAAGGAATCAGTTTTAGTAAAAATGAATGACCTCCATCTCTATTTGAGTGTCCTGCACAAGAGGATGGCTACCATGGGAATGTGGATTAAGAGTTTCCTGGAAGCAGCAGACTGAACAGTTGCCATGGAAAACATGTTGTTAAAAACATATTAAACAATTACATTACGGATCCTGCAGTGATTTTAAATTAAACCTCAGTTGTTTGTTGATGTGGATCTTTGGTGTAAGCTGCATCTGGGTCTCGGCTTTCTGCCTTCCAGCGTATCAGAAGTGTGTTTGTTTACTGTATGAGATATTCTTCCTCTGAGGGCGCGACTGTGCTAACAGAGGCTTGAACTTGACGCTGAATCATATGATTAGTCATGTGTAATTGTTGGCTGACACAAGTACCAAGTCTTTTAAAATGTCTGTATTTTTAACAACAACAAGATTCTCAGCAAGAACAAACAAGTTTCACAATTATTGAATTATTTCTTCAAAGTTGTGATAAAAAGGTGCAGACATACAGTTAACTTTGCAGTTCCCTCTTTCAGTGGACGTATTTAACTCAACTTATAATGATCAGTTTTTAATTAATGCCACATTTCATCATCCTGACACCGACACTCAAAGAAGCAAATAAATTCCCTCGGAGGACAGATGGATATCATGAGGATAAATCAGTTTCACATCAGTTCAGGAACTTTCCATCTGTTTCACTGTCTTGATTTGTTTTGCATGTGATCTCCTCATATGCTGCGTTCACTTGCTGGAGAGCAGCTGTAAATAAAGTGCATTTTCAGCATTCACATAGTAACAAACACCATATGTGTGTGAATCATTACAATTACATAAATGCATCTTCTCCCATAGTTGTACAGTTTGTGCTCTCGTTAGACAAAAATCTAAATATGTCATTTGATTTATTAAAATGCTTCATAGCTGTCATAAAGAAAATCCATCCGTGTAGAAAAAAGTCACAACATTCAGAAAAAATCCTTCATTGCATCTTTGTTTTTACTGATCCCCTCAAATCTGCTGAGCAGTTTTATCTAGGACAGCACCGATGACCGGTATGTGCCGAAGAGGTGGTCCCAGTGGGTGAAGTACGGGGCGTAGTTGCCACTGTGGAAAGAATGATGAGCCTGGTGGAAGGGGGCTCCTCCCAGACATGGCAGCAGTCTGTGCAGAGACCATGGCAGGTCGTAGCCGCAGTGGTCCTCCACGGCCAGCCAGCTGTTAATAAGATGGAAAATGGCTTCGCTCAGAGGATGGCAGCCCACCATCCAGGCGCTGCTCAGAGCCAGCAGCAGCAGAGACAGCAGCTCGGCTGAACTGGTGTCCTGAGCTGCCAGGGCGAAAGGTATGCGGTGCTGATGGTGCATCTGGTGGACGGTTCGGTAGAGCCAAGGAACCCTGATGAGGAACAGACAAGTTAGTTGTGTTTACACAGTTACTGTAATGGAAAATGACCACTCTTTCCTCGAAATGACTTCAAAATGACGAAATGACCTGAATGACATGATACCAGATTCCTGCGTCAGTACAGATGGTTTCTCACTACAATAACCCAATTAGTACTGGAAAAAAAAAACATGCTGTAGGCGTTTTCCTCCACATTAATCATGGTTTCATCCTGATCGTGTCGCGGTGAAAAAAAAACGTTCATGACTCCAACATTAAACTTCTTGTGGTGATTTGGTGATCTTACTTTCTATCCTTGGAGTTTCCAATTGCGGTCTAGACAAAACCCAAAGTCACACTTGATTCATTTCCTGATGATAATTATTGGGGTTTTAATCATTGTCTCTCCATCTACCACATCACCCTCTCTTTAAAAATTGGTTTCATGCGGGTTGCTAAAACTAGTGGCTTGTTTGATAGTATTATTGAGGGAAGATTTGTTGCAGAGATTTCCTCTTTTTGGACCCTCGGATCATAATTTGATCTCTCTGATATTTAGTATTCTTGGCTCATCATGATTAAATCTGTGTGTATGCATGTGAAATGCTGCAGGGGTTGTTTTGATTGGACTATGCTGTCTGATCATGATGATTATCTGGACAGTATTTCTAACAAGGTCACAGGTCATATTCATTTCAGTGCTTTGGTCCAAAAGTGAAATAACAAACCTCGGGTGACAGGGGAGGTTAAAGTTACTATCAACTGGAAAATTTGCATTTTGCTTAAACAATGAGAGTTGAGGGTCAGATGTCTAATGGTAACACCAGGGGTCTCTGGAGAGGTATGAGCTTCTCCTGTTCCTGGAGCTTTAATCACTGACCTGTCTGTCAGATTTTTAAAAGTTATAGTGCATCAAAAATCTGATCATTTATATCTGTTACCTTTTAGAAGTGAGATGTCAAAGTGAAACAGTTTCTTCTATTTTGCCATTTCTAACACTATGAACGACATAAATCAAAACTCTGCAGAGCCAGATGGAGCACATTAGACCTCACAAGGACTCATCTGTTCTGCATGAGCTGCACATGTTCAATGTTTTCATCAAAGCCTTTAGGGATAAGGAGGTATTGGACTGCACTGGTGGGAGTAATGCTCCATCGATAATTTAGTGAAAACCATCATATACTGTTACACTCAGAAAATACGCAGCTGGTTATCTACAATGACTGCTGACAGAGTGAAAATTTTATGTAATTATTTGGATCACTTTGGGAAAATATTTAAATGTAGGGGAAACCGGGGCTTGTTGTCACATGAGTAAGTTGTCACATTGCAGTTATCTTTGCCACCAGAGGGCGCAACTAAAAAGTGGAATACTAGTTTTCTTCCTTTACGTGGTCAGGGGTCGTGTCTTGTCTGAGAAGGGCACATTGTGAGCTGAGATGAGCGCCAATTAACCATTTCGCACTACCCAAAGTAAAGAAAATTTGCTTTATATATTTTAAAATAAGCTTCTTCCAGATAAAAATCCTAGCAGTGATACATGTGGACTTGTTAAAGGAGAGATTAAGGCGTCCTGTCAGACCTCAGTTATTGTTCTGTTTTAAGATAACTTTAGGATACAGCTAGAATTATATGGTCGTTTGGGGCAACATGTCTCAGTCTTTTTGGGGTTGGTTGTCACATGTTTAAAAGGGATTATCAGCAGTTGTCATAATGAAATTTTGACTTTAATTTTACAGAGAGGAGAGTGATTTAAAGGAGAGGAGAAAGCGAGAAGACATGGTCAGGAATCTCAAAAGAAAAACAGAACATGTCAGCGCAGTACCTGATGTGATGCTGAGGACAGTCAGGTGAACCTCGCTAATAAATCAATCTCGAGGACAATTAAGGACTTTAATGTCAGCTCCCAAACCTTAGCTGGGTGCTACAAAAACATTCACCCCAGCCAAAATACAGAGTTAGACAGATCTTTAAACTCCAGAGCATGTTGTATAATATTTTATGTTAACGTTTGTTCAATGACTTTTACTAGCTTAATGATAAATATTTTCTGTGCCTGACTTTGATGTTCACTTTCAACTCAAAAAATAATAATTTTGTTCTTGTTTTATCAGCTGCAAAATCCACTGTAACGTCTCACCCCATGTAATGAGACAACTTACCCGACGATGGGGCAACATGTCACATGTTCACTCTCTCTATTTGATTGCTTATAACTCTGAACTGACACATGATATAAAAAAGACATGAATATAAAATATATACCTGAGACTTCAGTCTTTCATCTGGTACATATTTTGTTTACTTATGATATATTGATTCTAAGAAATACATAAGAGTGTAAAAAGTGTAACAACAAGCCCCGGTCTCCCCTAATGTTTCCAATATAGTGATGTTTTCATATGTTATCAGATACTTGACATCTGAGTATAAAATGACTATTGATGTCTGACACACATGTTTAAAAAAAACTATTTATTCCTGAAAATTGCAGCTAGATTTACACTAATTTACATGGCTTACTTTGTGTGAAATGGACTGATCAGGACAAACAAAAATGAGACAGTGCATGACGAAAACATTTTCTCCAGCCCATGCAATCCCTTTAATGTTTCTATTTTGGGATTGGGAAAGCACCAACTGAGTGAAAAGGCCTCTTGTACTTCACTTAGGAGCAGAAAGAGAAAGCAGTAAGACAGTTTTTCACTGAATAATAGAGAAGAGCCTCGTGGGAGAGCCTCTTCTTTCCGAGCAGAACTCACACACATCAGGGGGTGCAATGTTGCAAAAACATGAACACACAACATATGAAGGTGCATGCTCACCTGTGCATGGTTAAGTGCCATATGAAGAAGAGTGTGTCAAAGAGCAGGAAGCATGCAAGAACTTCCACGAAGAGCTGCCAGCAGGAGGGAGCCAGCTCCGGTACCGTGGAGCTCCTCAGGCTCTGGAACACAGCTGTGGCGGGGAGGACAGCTGTCAGGTACTTGTGCAGGACCCTCAAAAAGCAATCAGCCCACTGACGGAGGGATGGCGGTGGACCCGAGCCTGCAGCGATCCTCCACAACCGGACTCGCTGACTGACGCTGGCCACCACGTCCAGCACGAGGAAAGGTGTGCACAAGAGCACGTGGATGAGGAAGCCGCAGGATGCAGGTAAGTAAGGAGAGAGTAGGATCTCCTGCTGACCTGCCCTCACATACTCCCATGTCCCCTGCAGAAAAGGCTCGTGTGCCTGTGGATGTGCCGTGGAGGGTTCATTCATCACCGCTTTCACTTTTTCTCAGCTGCCTCTTACATCACCAACTCCTGCAAGGAAATCACCTCTCAGATGTCGTGTTTGTTCCTCTCTTTAGTCTCACAAAAAGATGCGTTTCCACTCGAGAAGAAGTCCAGAAGGATCTTTGAAGATAAACTCTCTTGCATTAATTCTTGCAGAAGGTGTTTGAGGTGTTTTTCCTCGTCTGCTGCCCTCACTTCTTCTTCTTCCAGGAGTCGACTCAGACTGCTGCAGACTTTTCCTCCCTTCCAAAGGAGGAGGGGCCGTCATCCATACCAAAGTTGCAAAAAAGTGTCCCACTCTCCTCTTTCTTCTGCAGAAAAGCTCTCAGACTGAGTGGGTGAATCTATCCCACCCATGGCATCTCTGACGCACATGAACCACCTACACAAAGTTTTGGGAAATGCAGGGGATTCCTGACAGAGAGCTGTCACATATAACAGGTTATTATTCCGATGATTATTTTTATCACCACTGATTAGATTAAACAGCTGAGCGCACATGCTAACTCAGACCAAGATCATGTTTCTCAGTGAAGGTGTTTTCCAGAGTCAGATTCAGACATGAACAAACATGATAAGTTCTCAGAAAAGTTTCATAAAATCAAGAAGCAATGCAAACACATGTGAATAATTAATGCATAACAATACAAACAAAAACCAAATAATTTCCAGATTTAAAGGGTGTTATTTTAACAATGTTGGGGCACCGAAGAGGCAAATTGAGTTAATTGATGCCACATAATGTAATGATCTGCATAAATGTGTGGGCTGGAATTTGAACAATTTCACTAAAGGCGGATTTCATTATAACCCCTTTATGTCTTGGAGAGGGTTAAGGTTATTTCAGTCTCCAAGCCACTATAATCAGGGATAAAATTACTCTAAACTCTGTGGTAATTCAGCTTTATTGCAGTTTAAGTTTGCTGTTTGGCTGTGCGGTCTGCAACTTTAATTTTCATTTCACGCTCTGCTCTTGAGATGCACAGAACTGGTGAATATAACACAGAGAAGAAGTCGGATATTTTCTGGAAGCTAAAGGCTTAGCTTCTCAGTTGAGAATCTAAAAGGCCTGGTGTGCAGGTATAGACACTTTTAGAGCCCGTCAGTGGTGAAATAAAGCACTTGTAGTGGTTTGATGAAGCACAATTGTCAAGTCAAACTATACCTTAGCTTGGCTGCCAAATACTCTGCTCTCCTTTAATCATGGACCAAATTCAAAGATGGATTTCCCTGTCAGTCAAGAACACACTAACACATGGGAACATAGGTTGAAAAACACCAAAGTTCCATTTTAAATCACAAAAATATCGGCATCGTAGGACTTTAACACCCTTGGTATATTCATACAAACCAGTGTTATCTTTCACTAATGCTGAAAACAAGCCACAAACAACTTGTTGGTCAACACGCTTAAAGGTTTGTTTTGTGTTCAGCTAAAACCGTCGTACCTAAAAACGTCGTATTGTTTACAGACATTAAAAGGGTCAAAAACGTCTAACAATATTAATTATTTTGTACACAATGGCAACTCTCTTCTTTAACAACAGCAAACTGATTTCCATAATCAGCACTTACGTTCTAGTTTAAACATATTAATGATTGTACCAAGTCTAGTCTGCCAAATGTTGTGAAAAACTCCCCACTGTATCTTTAACTCCACCCGTAAGTAAAGTGGTCAAAATGGAGATTTCTAAATATCCATGATCTAGTAATTACATAATTATACATGAAGCTGTAAATCCCTGTTTGTTTAAAAACTAATCACTACAGCGAGTCATGATGAGTTACATATAGGCTAGTTGTATTTACACTAGACTATGATTTTGATATATACAGATTTATCTCTTAACATGAAGGCTTCATGCGCTTATATAAACAGGATTAAATGTCTGTTATTCTTGCCCCCCAGTTAAGATTACATTCATATTTTTACAGCCACTATGTGTAATTCTCAGAAAATCCCACTTTTAAACATTGTTGGTTGTGTTGGTCAGGAGAACAGCTGCATCTTATTTCCGGTTCGTACACTTTTTCAAATGAGGATCCTGATCTTCGGCCAAAAAGGATGATGTGACGTATTACGTAACATTTCAGACAAGTACTGTGATCCATCAAGAGGCCCTAAAACAATGCTGGTCCAGAGAAGAAGACGGACTTTAGCTGTGTGTATTACTCCTCGTCAAAGTGGTCTAAATAGTTTGGATTAACATCACATAGTTAATAGAAAGAGAAAGTTTGTGACTTTTGTTCACAGGATTATTCGCAGGAACAAAAACAGATGTGAAAACTGTGATCTGAGGTTACTAAAAAGAGTGAAGCATCATTTTAACAGGAAGTTCATGTCAACTTTGAACAACTAGATTAACAGTAATAAATATCCTGTTATTGCTTATTTTAGTATGATACCATGCTTCAACTTTAACAACTGCGGTCTGAATAGATGTCAGCTCTTGTACAAAATGAAGAGATGTTAGGTGAGCACAATTAAGAGGCTTTTTGGTTCCTATGAGTCCAATCAACAAAAGGGTTAAAGTCTCGTCAAGAGGGTTCAAGTTCCCGATGAGTGGCCAAAAGGGTTAAAGTCCCTGACTGAGACATTTGATAAAACCAGTGTAAGGTTGAAATTACACACCTTTACTGGAAACGTCCGGAGAGGAGAGAAAAAAAAAACACCCAGGCGTGAAGACAAAATGGGGTCAAGTGGGAGCAAGGAGGGTCCGGAAAACCATGACTCTCCAATTTTTAATCTCATGAGAGCCGAGATAGACGAAGAGAAAATTAATTACCATCTGGGGAGCCCCGGATCTGAAAGCTTGTGACTTATTTTGTTTTTCTGGGTTTTCATGGTGTTCAGGGCAAACGTAGAACTGATGAAAAACAGAAAATCAGTTTGTCTTATTGATTTTAAATCGTTTTAATCTCTCCTTTTTTCCATTTTTTCATGTATTTCCTTGCATCTGTAAAGCACTCTGAATTGTCTTGTGTATGAATGATGCTTTACAAATAAACTTGCCTTACCTTCCTGAGGATGACACTAAATGTAGGATCTCCTCCAGATTCTGAAAAAAAAGTGTTACAAACAAAATACTTCAATTGCTGAAACATTAACTAATATACAACAGAGAAATCAATGCAGCACATATCCATGTAGATTCTCATTCATCCAGGTCATGGTTATCTTGAAGACTTAAAAACAGGCAACTGGACTGTGTAGAGTTGAGAAGACGTTTTGCCTCTTATCCAAGAAGCCAAAAACTGAAGAAGCTTCTTGGATAAGAGGCAAAACGTCTTCTCAACTCTACACAGTCCAGTTGTCTGTTTTTAAGTCTTCAAGATAATGGAACATATAATTGCCACAATAAAGTATAGCTGTAACAATATCCAAAGGCACACGGACTTACTTAACAAGGACCAGGAATCTAAGCTGTCAAAAGCTGTAAAAATAACATGAAGCAGTATACACTACTTTGTATATTTTAAAGCTCCTATGGGGAACTTTTGGTTTGTTTGCTTAATTTTTGCGCCCCTCAGGGCAAAGTAGTCTTTGCATATCTTGACCTCTACATACTTGAAGGTGTCTGTTGACAAAAAATCTCATCCTGCTGACTTTTGACAGTCTAATGTTTCATTTATTGTAAATATTTTGATGTTAAAACTTTATTTATACAGCGGTTTCTTCAGCTGCTCGGCTTACACCTACCCTCCCACATTAGATTGAGGCATTAAAAATGACACTAACAGTCAATCTTGTCCTTAATAGTCATGTTTGCTTTTGAATACCGTAAAAATGTATCCGTATAAATTTCAGTTTTACTCCTCATAGTAGCTTTAAATGGAAAGTGACAGCTCATTTGTTGAGTCAGAGTGATAAACAGGCTTGTTTATTCAATGAGTTCCCTATGAACCTTCATGACTGGAATAAGCTGTGGGAGTGATTATATGTTAGGAAACCCTTAATGAAAAAGATGCTGTTGTTACACATTATAAACCACTCCTTTATAAGACATAATGCTCACGGCTCAATACACAGTTGTTATGAATGCTTACAGTCACCATGATATTAAACAGCCTTATAAATACTAAAAATAGCTAGTAGCACTTTAATTGACGCCTATCTCTACAACGCATTATAAATATATATAAAATGCATTATAATCATGTTATAGCACTGTGTAACTATAGTTATAAACACTCATAAATGATCATAATGCTTTATAGCAATAATCATAACACATTATAAAGCATTTTATCATGACTTACAAGGTCAGGTATTATAATGTGTAATAATTTGCTTATAAACTTGTATAAACACTTATAAATGATCAACATGCTGTATAGCAATAAGCATAATACATTATAATACCTGACTTTGTAAGTCATGATAAAGTGCTTTATAATGTGTTGTTATTATTATTGCTATAAAGCATTATGATCGTTTATGAGTGTCTATAACTTTAGTTACACAGTGATATAACATGATTATAATGCATTATACATATATTTATTATGCGTTATAGAGATAGGCGTCAAGTAAAGCTTTTAAAATGTACTGATAATGCATTATATATTTTTTCAGACATTGTACTGAAACTCATATCAGTGGGTTTCAGTGTTTTTTTTTAAGTTAACATAGCTCTTTGTAGTCGTAGACTTCGCTTCAGCTGCTGTCACACAAAAGAAAAAATGGGATAATTTAATTACCGTAAAACTTCCATTAGCAGCTTTTGTTTGTTTCAGTCCATAAACTCATCCTGCCTTTAGATGGGACAGACTTTAAAACAGACGATTAAAAACATACAGCTATACCCTGCTATTAAAACAGACCCTGCCTTGCATTAGGGTAGTCCTCTATTAGAAGTTTTATGGTACATGTTGTCATCTGCTCACACAAAGTCCATTCAAAGAAAGACATCTGTTTGTTATGAACATCCTAATTGTTACTTAATAGCGTTAAAAATGTAAAAAAAAACCCTCATGTCCTCAGAGAATTACCATCAGAACTTTATTGCCAGATGACAACATCTTGATTGCACAGTCACAACTGAAATCAGTGCAAAAATATTTGACTTTCAACTTCAAGTTTTAATCAGCCAGTAAAATTCTGCAATCAGGAAGTCAGTCTGGGGGGAAAACTGCCAGAGAACCAACCTTAGGACAAAAACAGGATCTGATGCCAAGAACACACCATTAGACCAATGCCTGAACAAGTCACAGTATACAAAGTCTACGGTGAATTTGACTCCACACAGTCCAGATCTCCTCTCACTGCGGCACCATGTCTGCTTAGATAAAACCAACACCACCGTGTAAAAGCATCTGTGCCTAAACACGTCTGACACTTAAAAAATTACTTATTCTTTGGAAATCCCATTAGCCGATTTACAAGGAACTGAAACCCTGGATGACACACTGTGACCACCTATAATGTTAAGAATGCTTGAGTCAACCCAGAATGATAAGACATTTTTGACGTACACAGGCTGTCAGTGTGTTGGATCGAGTTCCTCTGTAGATCTCAGTTACACTGTTTTCTGATGTTAACCAGCCTGTTTGATGCCGTATTACAATCTCTTCCTCCTTCAGGTGCTGAGGACTCTAAGGCAGTTCATATCCAGAACAGAGTTTGACAAACAGGAAAGCAAGACATCAAATCAAACATGGCAGAAAAACAAACAGATTATGTTTTTGTATTTGGAAACTGAATCCAAAGTTTCTCTTCCCGTCATGATAACCCAGCGTTATCCTTTCAGTCGGGTATTTCTGAACAAACAATCAGATACTAATAGTAGAATACTCTATTCTAAATGTACAGAGCAAAACACAAAGCACTACAAACATATCCAGAAATACCTGTTAAAACTTCACACAGTTAATTTTAGCCAATTTTTCATTTACCGAGTCCCAGTGCTGGATTAAAAACAAGAAAAGAACAAATAAATAAACCAGCGGAGTGATGGTTTTAAATCCGACAGCCAGCAGCTACCACACAGTACATTCATCATCCTTATGTTTGTCAGCGCGGACATTTCCTGTCAGGGTTTGTGTTTTTCAAGCAGTTCAGAGAGCGATCACAGCCTGAGAGAGAGAGAGACGTGGATATTTGGTCTGTTTTTTTTTACAGCAGAAAATCAACATTTTATAAACTCCTTCTCCTCCAAACGAGATCATAGACGAGCTGCCCTGGACTGGAATGTAAATGGATTTTTCTCTTTTCTTAGAGTGCATCTGCTCCATTAAAAACAAACAAACAAAAATAAAGATGTTACAGACAGATGAAGCTTCACTGAGTAGAGATTGTCTGGAGGAAATGAAAGTGATCAAACTTTTAACTGAAGCGGGCCAACTTTCCCTCCGACCACGTTATTTTACGATGTGACAGAAGGAGCCCGTTTGCAGGGAGACATAGGAGATCTTAAAGGATATCAGATGTTTGGGTGAAAGCATGTTTTAGCACGTTTATTCACAAGGACTAACTCTTCAGTTTTTTTTGTCAGATTTCTTTGTGTGAGGATTCATATTTAATCTGGTTCAAAGCGAAAGCTAGCATGTGTCCTGACATGTATTAGAGTGTTGAGCAACAGCTAATGCAGAGGAGCCCTGAGGGAAGCAGTTTAATATTAAAGATTTTGCAAGTATCATGACGAATGCAGCAGATGTAATGGGTAAAAAGAAGAAGAAGACTGGGGCAAACTCAGACTTTGACATCTGTCGAGGATGCCTCCAGGACATCAAGTTTCACTTTGACTGTTAATCGCTTTACAACCAGTGACTCAAGCGTCAGTCCAAGATGTTTAATTAGTCAAAAATCTGCTGAACAGCTGGTGGTTTGTACGTTTTTCTGGGTTCATTGGACGCCTGCTGTGATCACACAGCGAGCGTGTTATCTATTAGGCTACACTGCTGCGAACGCACCATGCGCAGCATCTGTCCAAGTCTTGTGTTAATGAGATAAATGTGTTTTCTACACTTTCAAAAGATCCCAGTCAAGATTCAGAGTGACACAACCATCCTCCATGTAATCACGTGCAACACGACCTGACTCAGACTCCTGCTGAGTAACGGGGATTTCACTTTAAAACACAGAGGACGCTAAACGTCAACGCAGGCTAGAGGCTGAATCACTCAAACTATTTCTGAATCGCTCTGAAATCTGTGTTTGGAATATCTATGTGCCACTTGGATGAAAAATCAGTTCTTCAGTAATTGTTAAATGCATTGAAGCCAGGAATAAAAGCTTGAAAGGCACAGCAAATCTTTAACTGAAGGTTAGCGGACAGTTGATATATATGTTATAAAGATTAATGCAGCTGAAACAAGCACGGTTTGGCTTTGGAGGAATAATCAGTCATTTCTCCGCCAGAAACAGATTTTCGATCATTTCACTGCTTCAGACGCTCACTGAGAGCGCATGGGTGTCCACGGATAACACAAGAAACACATCAGTAGTGATGGCTTTGTGATCCACGATGTTAAGACTTGAATATGAGCTGAGCAGCGAGTCAATCCCTTCAAATTATTGTTTGGGTTAATGAACAGTTTCAAAAGAGAGATGATGATGATGATATTTTCGTTTGGTTCTTCCATGTAATTTACTAAAAACAGTGCGGAGTAGCTGCACAGGACGCCTCACAAACAACCCGAGTCCTCTGCTCTTGGATGAAGCTCAGGTTGGTTCTGGAGGCCCAGGGTGATCAGCGTCAGAGGGGAGAACCGTCCAGCTCTCCTGGTCTAACAGATAGTCCTCCACCCCCGGGTGGCCCTGTGAGTCTGCTACTAACTTTTGCTAATCAAGGTCCAAGATCTGCTCATCAACAATGTCCATGGCTGCAGAGGCCTTGATAGAGCTCCCCTCAGAGCCAGAGTCCATAAACATGTGCGGTATGTCATTCCCAAAGTATATTTTACTGTTTGCTGCGATGGCCTTGAACTTCATCAGCTGCAGGTACTCCGGAGTTAACTTCAGCTGCAAGAGGTTAAACAGAATTCAGATCAGAAAGAGCAGCAGAGGATTTTCCAGTCCCTAAACTCAGATGTGTGTTTGTGAGTTCGCTTTACCTTGTTGGCCTCGGCAGTTCTCTGCGAAGTGTAAAACTCTGCGTCTGCTTTGGCTCTTTGTCGCGCCAGGAAAGCTTGGTCTGGGAATCAGAGGAAAGAAGCGTCAGAGTCAACAGGAGGAGGACGGTTTAAAAAGTAGACTGAATCCATTTCACTGCTGGGAAAGTCGAAAGCTAAACAAAGAGCTCTTTCTAAACAGCTGGTTCCTGGACTCGGAGAGAAAACCAGGACTGAAAACAAATTGTTTGGAAATAAGCATCTGTGATTGTCCGCAGCTGCTAGAACCTACTCTTAATCACAGCATCACTACTATCACATCTCATGAAGCTCCGGACTCATTTCTGGTAATCTCTCCACAGTGCTTTTTCGTTTGTCATAGAAAGAAAACCACTTTAATCAAACCTGAACTAAAAACCCTGATAACGCACGTTTTATACCACATTTCCTCCTCCTGTGTCAGCTCACAATAAAAGCTGTCGAGATAGGCACACCTGAACAAACATCGATCACTCATGCTGTTAATTTCCTTATCGTTAGCGAGTGAAAGGTTGACAGAAGAGAGACGATCTTCTCAGCCAAGTATACAGTGTAAACATGAGGTAATCGATGATAGAAAATACAGTGGAAAATTACGACACCAGTTTTATAAGAATTGAGCAAGTGTGCAAAATATTTGAAAGTTTGCAGATCATTAATATCCTTAACTTGATCGAAAACGGTGCAAAAACTGAATTAATTTAGCATTTAACTAATCAATTTTTCAATCCTATGGCGCCAAATCACATCAGTCGTCCCAAACCTTCGATTTGAGAGATCTTTTTCTCCGTTTCCTTCTCCATGACCTTCTGTCCAAACTTGATTTCTGCCACTTGTGCCACTTTCTCAGCCTCTATGGGACAAAAAGAAAAAATCCACATGATTACAGCGCACTTCTCCTTTAATAAGAACCTGTAAGAATGTCTGTTAGTCTCATCATCGCTGCTCACCTATCACAGCTTTGATCCGCTCAGTCTCCGCCTCCTTCTCCACCACCTTCTGTGTCTGTTGCGAGATGAGCAGCTTTGTCTTCTCACTCTCCCTGCAGACAGTATTTATGAAATATGAGGATTAATTTGAATCATTTAAAAGGATAATCCGGCATAAAATTAAGTTAGGGTCAAACGAGTTAGACACCCCCCGAGAGATGAATGTTGCCGACCGCTTGCTTCTCTAGTTATACCAACATTAGTAACAACCGCAGGATAGCAAAACACAGCGGTCGTTGTAATTAAATTCGGGTTGAATGATGATTCAAAGTTCTTCTGCTGACATGCAGCATCGTTATCTGTTAACCCTTTCAGGCCCATTGTGCGGTTAGTCACAGAACAGGATGTAATGAAACTTTTGGGAAAACTTGTGAAACTTTAATGACCTAAATGATAATGTGAGAATAACCATAACTCAAGGTGTGGTCAGAGTTTTGTCATTACAGTCACTTCCACTTAAATGAATACCACAAAGGCTCCAAAACCCTTAGGATTTGATTTTGTAAGACCAGATTTGGATCAGATTTCAGATCAGAAAAGTCAATTTCCGAAAGAAATTCTTCAGAACTGCCTTCATGCGCCGCCTGATTACACACTGAGCTCATCTTTGTTATTTCTGGTTACTCTATCAGGGCAAACATCCTCCTGTTCCCCACAGAGGCTGATGCATTGGGTGAAAGCATGAGTGCAGATCATTTATAATTAGCTGCCCTTAAATAAACAACCGGATTTGACACTGTAGAGACAAAACCCTCCCCGCCTGAAGGACAAGAAGAGCGTGCAGGAGCTGTAAACCCGCCTTACCAAAGTGCACCTCAAACCCTGAATAACGTGCACTTTTAATACTGCCAGTGGTTTGAGTTTTTTGGTGGTCAATGTCATGATCTCTCGTTGGACTTTAGGGTAAAAGCTGCATCATAACTGTGAGGTTACTCCTGGGTGTTTGTGCTGCTCTCCTCAGGGTGAAGTAAAGGGTACGCAAACTTAAAAACTTCCTGATCCAAACTCCAAATCCAGCATTTGATCCCAGTCCAATCCCAGATTGAAATCGTCTGCGTGTGCACTTAACTTTAGATTTGTAATTTCATGCGAGCCGCAGCCTTAAGGGAGTCATTTTGAACTGAAGAGAGACGTCTAAATTCACTTTATTTTGTCTTTTTCATTAAACCTCCACTGACTGTTGAGCTCTCTGTCACATCTCAGTGTTCACATCTGAACAGCTGAGTCCTGTTTACACTTCTGGAGTGCATATGTGTACCCGACATCAAAGACAAGGCCACTTCACAGGCTTGTAATATGAACCACGTTTGTCTACATCTACGCTCATTACAGAAAGACAAATTCAAACCTCGATGAAGCTCTGAAATACTCTCTACAGTTTGGCAAATGTAATTCTATCAAGGAAGAGCGGTCACAGCTTCAGGGATTTCCAGTCTGCCGCCCTCCGTTTACTGTAAGTGATATAACAGCCTCCCCTGATCTCACCCTGAAGGTTGGTGAGTAACTGTCGATGAAACCCACAGGAATGATGACGGATAATAAGAAAATAAGAATATATGACGCTGCAAGAAGGAGCACAACTCAAAAAGACTCCCTCCAGGATAGAAAAAGTGTGAGAAAGCTCTAAAAAAACAGAGTTTTACGAAGCTCAATGAGTTAGAGAAGTGACTGTTAATGAGACTAACCACATGGTCTTAACAACACGACTTTGCAAGGCTCTAACTGCTGGACTTGACCCACTTTGTTTTACCACAGCTCTTTTTTCCCCTCCCTTTACTCTAAAGTCTCCTCACAGGGTTGCAGTGACTAAGCACATCTTGTTGATTTACAGACTGGCACTAAACAGCAAAAGCCTTCCTTCTCTCACAGGACTTGGCAGAAGGGAGTTGGAGGAACATCACACAGCACAGGCTGAAGAGGTCAGGGAACATGTTTTTGTTGAGGGAAGACTCACATGAGCTCGTAGTTTCGGCGAATGCTCTCCGGGATGTTGGGTTTCGTGACACGGACCGCCTGCAGATCAGCCAGACATACAAAGACAAAGATAGACAAATAAAAACAGCGTCTTTTAAGAGAGGTTTTCAGAGAGCTATCAGTGAGGAAACGAGTGTAGCTGCAGACCACAGGGGTTGTAGTTAAAGCAGAGACAGTCCTGTTCGAGACCTTGTTACACAATATTATTTGTTTCTCAGGGAAAAACTAGAAATGTTATTTCAGCTGTATCGGTAGATTTATAGAGAATGGAGGCAGAGTATTAAAGCCCAGCGGAGCGTTTAACAATCGGGGATGAAGAGTGTGCGTGTCTGTGGGTGCAGTGGGGAGGGTGCAGGAGGTCCAAGAGGGGGCAGAAGCACTCAGACGGACACACCGCTGAAAAACGGTTTGTGGTGGAGAGACTTTTTTTAGAGGATGTTCAAGTCAAAGCAAAGCCTGGACGCTGTAAAACAAGACCTTAATCATCCCCCCTACAAGGTTTCACTACCCTGACTTCACCGTTTAAAGCTTCAGTCCTGGTTCTGCTCAAAAGTGCAGCCTGACATTAGACTGAGCAGACGATCATAATCTTAGTGTCATGCTAATTATATATTTTTTTAGTCCATCTCATCTGTATTTTATTACAAACAGCCGTTAAACAACACTTGTAACAGAAATAGTAAATCCTCAAAGTCTCTCAGGAGTTTTACTTTCGTTTAATAGTGCAGCTCTGAGAGAGCGACCAGAAGGACACTTGTACACAATAAACTGTTTATCACTTTGAATCATGTTGATTTTATTCGTCTATGAACCACTCTGTTTGATCCCACTGAGCAATACACAGCTATTAGACATCTAGCTTTTTTTTTTAGACCTAATTTCAACCATCTAGATGCTGTTTATTTTAGACAAAATTTAGACGTTGCACTATGAGTTGCATAACTGATCTCCAAGTACTTTACCAAAATAATTATGATAGCCATTGAGCAATATACAGTGTAGTATAGATATAGCCCAGATTTAGATTTAGTCTAAACTTGGTCTAAATTAAGACATCTAAAAAAAACTTTCTTTTTTAGACCTGTGGTAGCCTGATTTTAGACCAGTCGTCTAGACTACATTTAGACATCTATTTAGACCAAAAATGCTCAGTGGGATACCATCAGGGTTGAGGCTGAGGTATTAAGTCTAAGACTGTCATATATATAACCAGAATATATCAGGACCAAAAATGAGTTAAAGGTGAACTCAGTCAGATGTGTTTGTCACTGATGGAGGGTTAACGTGATCTTTCATTTTTCAGATGAACTCGTTGATTCTAGTCTGGATAGGAAGACCTGCAGAGGGTGTGCTTGTGCATGTTTGCAGCTGGTCATACTGTATGTTGCTGCCTTCACCTCTTCATGCAGACAGTGACTGTAGATGGAGTGGTTTTCATGCAGGGTTCCTACACAGTTGGAATTTCCATACCCTACTTTTTACAATTATTAATACCTGCTTTTCCATTTTGGAAAACAGTATTTTAGAACTGTGGTAACACTCTGGAAACATGAATATTTTTCCATACTTTGTTTTTCATTTTCTATACTTCTTAAGACCTGGAAATTGATCAAATTTATTTCCATACTTGCGCAGGAACCCTGTTCATGGGGACAGCTCTTCTTATGTTGGGTAAAGTGAACCCACTGTAATGATCACAACACAACTCTTCAATCCTCCACTATGGCCCCACTGCAGCCTCCTGGAGGTCTTACTGTACCTGGATAATGAGTCCAGGTGCCATGGCAGTCAGATCCTCTTGTAGTGTCAGCTTCAGGTTTTCATCAATTTGGTCTGAGGAAGAAATGAAGATTTAATTTTTATTCCCCACCTTGTCGAAAAACTGAGATTACAGCTCAGAGTTTAAAGACAAACTCCTCAGACAGTTACGTCTTACATGAGTCGAGTATCGTCCATCAAACTGCCTGTAATAAAGTTTCTGCAAAGGTGAATAATCAATCAATAATTTTTTATTCTTTCCTCTCCTCAGATGAACAATCTCAGTCCTTTAATTGTGATAATGCATGTTCACACTCTCCTTATACTGTAGCTTTATGCTTCATTACCTGGTCTAGATGTGGTCCTCAGTGTTGCAGGATAGTTTGAACAGGAATGAGCTCACTTTAGCAGACAGTTGTGCTGCATATGTACAGCAGTTGTTGAGTAACAACATACATCCAATAAAACAAGCTATAAACTGGAGGTACTCTGAGTGCTTTTGCTGTAGGCTGACTCTGTGCCGTTCGTGCAGATGGACTCGTAAAAAAGCTAAAAGAAGGTGTTTAAGATACGCAGTAAGTTTACATCCAGTCTGAGACCGCCGCGCTCACCGAAAAGGCCGATGTAGACCTCCTGCAGAGAGTGAACGCTGCAGAACTGGTTGAGCTCATGGTGAACCTTGTTGAATATTAAAGCTTTGTCGTAGTCTGCGGTGAAGTTCCTCACGATGTCGTACACTGTGCAGAAAGAGAAACAAAAGAAGCACGTGCATATTTGAAGAAGAAATCATGCTCACAGTGCCAGTTGGTGCAGCTTTATTTTCAGATAAGACACTTAGACAAACACGCTGTGTTGTTTTTGGCCTGCTGAACACGAGCGAGCTTACCTGCTGATGGAACTAGGTAGTTCACCACTTCTATGCGATCAAAGTAGATCATCACTCCCCCACTGAAAGACAGGAAACCACCACTATTTAACTGCTCGAGTGTTTTATCCCAAAACAAATACAAGACAAAAGAATTTTCAGTCTGAGTGGTGCCAGCGGTTTGGTGTAATACAATAACAGATGTGTTGTTTGGAGGATACACACAGAGAGAGTAAGAGATCTCCAGGCTGCAGCTGGAACTACTTAAGGCGGCCCGGGGAGCGGACTTACCTTGTACCACATGGTACATTCTTCACCTCATCTGTCTGCAGGGTCGTCTGCAAGACAAAACAAATATTTACATTTACATTCATTTTTCTGAGAAATGTTGCTGTGATATCTTTATATAAACACCACGCACACAGAAGTTTGACCGCAAGTAAATTAAACAACATAGAATCAAATCAGATCATGCAATTAGTTCAAATCTGAACCTGATTACAGTAAGAGGAGGTGCTGGACAGTATCATCAAATATAAGATTACTCTAAACATGTTGTGTTGTATAACCAGTATGACTTTCTCTGTGAGTTTAGCTGAAGGAAAAAATCCTTTGGACATGTTAACCAGCATTACCCAGCATGTTGTTTTTAGGATAACAGGGGTCTCTCCAAATATGCGAGGTCGCTCACTCTCTGTGACGGAGTAATACTAAAACAAGTGACAGTGACGAATGGGAGCAGACTGTTGACCCCCACACTCTCACTCAGTGGATGGATGATTTGGAACGGCCAAAGGTGAGAGAGACAGCAGGACATTAAATTATGTTTATATAGCTCTCTTTCTATTCTTCTGACTGCTCAAAGTGGTTTTAGATTACACGTCATTCACACACCAAAGGGAGCAGGATGGGCAGTTTAGGGTCAATCCTGCATGTGGACAGTGGGATCTGGGAACGAACCCACCACTACCACACTGATGATCTGATTTACTAAAGGTTAAGTGTTTAAAAAGAGGCGCAAACTTCATAGGACCTGCAAACAAACACTGATCTTTAATCAGAGCGCACTGAGGATCCCGTCTTTCTAATGTGCAAGAAAACACCTGTTGTCCATTTAGTCAGTTTGCGTTAATGACTTTGCAATATGGGGCCTTTCTCTCTGAGCGTGCAAAACACTGAGAGGAGAAAATGAAAGTTCGCTTAGCTCAGGCTGTAATTTACTAAGTTTGTAAGTCATTTCGCTGATCTTGACTGTGTTTAAGTATGATGAAACCTTTGAACAGGACGTGCAAATCCAGGTGCCAAGTGTTATGCACAGATGGCTGCTGTTACAGTGGAGGAGACACGGGGACTATCACAATCTAATTCAAGTTATTTCATTTATTCACAGCCTGAAGAAAATTTAATTTGACATACATGTCTTTTTACTTTCCTTTGTACTTTTTACTCTCCTCGCTTATGTTGTGTGTCTGCACCCTCACTGATCTCCTCCAGTGCACTCTTTCTCCTCCCTCTACATCTCACAGCTGCTTCTCTGAGGTTAAGACCTTGCATCTGCTTTGACATCATTTTGCCCCTTGCCTGGTGTTTAAAGCCATTTTCAAACAAGACGCAGCGCTGACCAGCTGTCTGATGTGCGTTACAGTGACCCAAGTACCCCCGACTCACATGACCTGTATGACCTGCAATAAAAAACAATCCATCCTCAAATCTTCAGTTTGTGTATCACATCATGGCTCGGTAAAACAGACATGTTTGTGGCTCTAAAGATGTGGACCATCAAGATGTGTTTTGGCTCTGTCCTGGAACTGTGCAAGTTTGAGGAGATGTTCAGAAAGCTGTCATCAAGGTTCTTGGTTATGGGGGTCCGCTGATAGCCAGGCGGTTTAGGCGCACCACATCCACAGGCAGCTGAGGTTTGATCCAAAAAAGCCCCAAAATAAATGTTATGATATGCCTAAATGATGTACTGGAAGGACAGATACTAACTCTAACCCTGCAAAAGGCTCCAGCGAGAAGATGATTCAAAGTTAAACCACCGACCCGAGACTAATGCCTGAAATGGACTGAAATACTGCAGATAACACGGAGCAGCTGATCCACGGGACAAGAACTCGAGCAGAACAATGTCAAGCTATATGGACGCAATGGACAATTTTCACATGTGACAAGACTCACCTGGACAGACTTGTAGGTGGTGATGAATGGAAGCATAAGATGGAAACCAGGGCTGCTGGTGGTGGTCAGGAGAGCCCCTCCCCTGCATGACACAGTTTTATCATTATATCAAAGGGTTTATTTTAAAGCACAATCAGAGTTTAAGTTTTGTGGACTAAAAAGGCTGATGTATAAACTGTCAAGTGATTATTTAAGAATTTGAGAAAACCACATTATTGTAAAGAGTGCAAATCAAATATTGAAACCAACTTTTAAATATAGTTGATGAAAAAATATGTTTATTTTTAAATTTGATGCCAGCAACACTTTTTTTTCATACAAGTTGGCACCGGGACAACAAACACTTTGCTCTTCCAACTAATTAGGTTAACTTGGAAAAGGTTCGTAATATGACCGGTTGAGTCTCAAAGAGGCAGAGTCCCTCAAGAGTAAAGATGGCAAGAGGTTATCGACTTTGAGGATCTCATCATCTACAGAACATATTATAATTAAGAAACTCAGATAATATGGAAAAACCTCTGTACAAAAGAGATAAAGTCCACAACCAATACTGGCTTCAAAATCACTTCCAAACCCCCCACTGTCTGCAGGTTGTAGCTGTATCCACAAATACTCCATCCTTTTTTCAGAAATTACCTCTCATATTTCAGAGAAACAATGCCTAACAAGATTTTTCACATATTATAACAGCAAAGTGTCCCCGTAGAAGACTCTGGGTGCAAAACTGATCTACTGAAAGCATCATGAAAGAAAAAAAAGAACAACATCAACAAATCTGCAAGAATGGGACCACATTTGACTTTAAAACCTCCAGAAACAGTTCTCCTTAGTTCCCAAATATTTATAGTGTGTTGTTAAAAGAAGAGATAATGCAAATGAAATGTAAACAATATCACTTTTCAGTTTCAACATTTGATATTTTTAGAATCAACTGAGGGCTTAAATGATTTGCAAACCATCAAACTCTGTATTTTATTGACATTTTTCATAATGTCTGAAGTGAAGCTGTTTTATTTTCACTTCTGATGGCATGAATAAACAGATATCCCTTTCTCACTGTCCCACACACATTCACATAAACACAACTCATTTATACGGGCCCTACATGAAAGCTGGAGATAAAAATGTGCCCACACTTACACCTCCCCATGATAAGAATCTATCTCTATTTGTTAATGCTTAACTGTGACACATAAGGGACCTCAGCTTTAGTCTGGACCTTCTCACTGTGAGCTGCACTGAAGCAGGTATTGGGTAATGATTTTATCTTGTGTTAATAAAACTGTGGTATTTACTGCATGTCTCTGCAGGCAATTACACCTGAAATCCTCTGCACCAGAAATGCTCTGAGGACCAGGACTTGTTATTTTTGCGGTCTTACTGCGAGGGTATTTATGGTGTTTAACAGTTAAGTTGCTTATGGCAAACACCTTCGAAGCAGATGCTCTCTTCTTACGGTTACACAACAGAGCAGTTTAACACTATCCCATAAATAACATTAATAACAACAACAGTGTGTGTGTGTGCTGCTGTCTCACCTGTAGTAAACTCCAGTGTGTCCCTCGTCAATCTTGTGCACGGATGCTAGGAGCGCAGCTCCTCCAAGAGCAGCAATTATTGAGAATAAGGCACCCCACTGTGCCATCCTTCGCAGAGGAAAAGAGACGTCAGCATGTGCACATGAGCAGCTGGGAACAGAAACTCTTATTTGATTTTAAACCAATATTCATATTCAGCTTCAATCTAATGATCCCAAATGGACTCTGTCTGTCCGTCTAGTCAACTTGATCAACATAAACCCGCAGCTGGTAGTAACATGTTGTAGGTGGCGTCTTGCTCACTGCTTTATCTCCTCACAGCTCAGGCTTAGCTGAGACTCAGTGACCTTGTTACCCTTAAAGAGGATTTAGACCGCACTAGAAAATGGTTGTGACTCTTCATTGAGTGCGATATGCATTTAAAATAAGAACTTCATCAGTTCCTTTGTTTGCTTATGTGCTGTATATGATGTTTGTTTCAGTTAGTTTCAGCAGGCAGACTTGGATGAGGTGCTGTTCTGCTTTGGTTTATGGGGATTAAAGAAATCTGGACTCAATAGCACTGTTTGGAAAGCTGTGTTTCTAGTTTTCATTGTTCATTAAAGAACATGTTCCTTCTTTGACTTGATTTTAACTGTGTTGTGGCTCTGCTTTTTATAAGACACTGGTCTGCAGCCTTTTATTTTGTTAGTGGGCTGGAGTCAAATAAAGCATCAGCTGATCAGGTAACAGTGCGACAAGTTCTGACAGAAACATGCAGGGAAAGTAAGTACCGATAATTATATTTACCCATGGGGCTTTTATGTGTACTTGTACGTCTTTGAGCAGTTTAATAAGTCAGTACTTTTTTGTATTGTATTGTATTTCACTGCATCAGTTACAAGGTCAAAAACTAGTCCCCAAAAGATAAACAAGTATGTTTTATTAACTGCATGGCCAACAGAGAAGCTGGCAGAGTATGTCCAAAAAAAATCTAATTTCATAAAATGATTTGTCTCAGTGCTGTTAGTTCTAGTTGAGTACAATCTGCATGCTACATTAGGCAGATAACAATAATATAGTTTATTTAGTTAAGTATATATAATATTTTAGTTTCCCAGCTGTATTTGCAGCCTTTTTACTCAACACGATCAGCTAAATCAACGTTTTTAGCCTCTGCGCAGCCACTCATGACCTGGGCCAGTTTATGAGTTTAATACTGAGAACAGATGCTTGAAAAATATTCACACACATTTTACTGTTCAATGGATTGACAGACTAGTAGTTTACTTTTTATGCAAATCAAATGAGTTTTTAGTGACTTTATTTATCCTAATATGGATTATTTCGACACCCTGGTTACATAAATAATGATTTAGATGCTAGTCTGAAGTGGAACACTGCATTACACAACTAGATAAGGAAACATTATAAGTAATTTGAGGTTTAAGGCAAATATTAGGTATCACATATAAGCAGAATGAAAGAGGTGAATTAAGAGATTATGTACAATTAAATAGTTTTTAAAATTTCGGACGGATGTACCGGGCACTACAGAGTGATACTAAAACGTCCGAACATCGAATGGGATTTGGTTCTTAATACTAAGGAGATGACTGTGGTAACACGATTATAGCCACAATGATAATGCAGAGGAAAACAGAGGAGTTTATAAAACAGCAAACAAGTTCATAGAAAAAATTGTCGAGGTAAATGTAATAATCTTAGTCCACTTTAATGACAGCGTCTCAGCACAACACAAGGCCAAATAAACCGAAACTGTGCTAATGTTACAAGTTAGCAAAACAATCTCAGCAAGTCCTACCCTTGTTAGATAAACTGCTGTTATATAAAACCGGAATGAAGAAATCACATGCTTTGTCTACACAGGTGCAGAAAGGTGACTTAGTGCTCGGCAGGTCTTACCTGTAATTTCGTCCGAAAGGACACCCACAGCAGATAAAAAGCAGGAACTTCAGACACCTGCTACCATAGCTCCGGTCTGCCGTCTTCTTCTTCCTGGTCGGAGTGCGTCACTTCGGCGTGTAGAAAGTGGCACTAGCGCCCCTAGCGGACGGCAAATAAATAACCCCAGCCGTTGTGATAGGTGTAGGGGAGAGTGTGTTAAGATGAGCCATTTTTCATATTTCGGATCACTACATTAAGGCAATCATAGTTTTGTCTCTAACTAGTGTATCAGCTTATATTTTAAGATGTTGTTCATCCCTGCAAACCAACAGAATGAGTGTAAACATAACTGCATTGATAATATAGCATGTCAAAAAAAGTGGTCTCCTATGGTCAACTTATCCCGGGTATGGGGTAAGTTGAGCCGTATCCCAACTACCCCCAATCAACATGGGTGAGCTGCTTCAGGAAAAAAAGAGTCCTATATCATGATAAAAATGGATTTACTGAAATTATTGACAACTTCACAAATAAGGTACAGAGTGCACTTCCTTGTCTTCCTTGCCTGTTTGTTTATGTTTGTGCAGGAGCAAGATAACATTTAGCTACCCCTAGACTCTAAACAGAAAATACATTTATCACTTTGAATATTCTTAGGCTGTGTTGTTTTGAGTGATGAGAACTGAAGGTTAAAAAATAAGAAGAAAAAAGGGAAAACATTGAACATCCTTTGGCTTGGCTTGAAACTATTCCAAACAATTAAATACTGAATAAATAAACAGCAAACCATGATTTCTCCCAAGACATACAAAAACTATGCAGTTTGTAGAGCCAGAAATTGTCAAGGGTCCCTGCTTGGGAACATAACAAGTCTAAAGTTATTTTTCTGTTAGCTGAAGTGATGTGTAGAGTTTTTGTGTTTTCCAACGAGAGAGGACGGCAGAGTTTGTTTAAAAACGACAAGGAGAGACACTCTTGGCCGGAGTTATGAGCAAGAAAACCCACAAAAACAACTCCAGCACAGAAGCCTGAGCCTTTTTTATCAGATAATAGAAATAGAAGAACAGAAATTTAAAAGCTGAAAAACAAGATTATGTTGCAGAGCTTAAAACAGAAAAAATCATACAGTACTTGAAGGGTGATTTAAGGAGCCAAAATAAGGTCTCTTGTCTGACTTTGGGTTTTAATTTATGTCTACAACTCAGGTATAAAATTTCCCAAGTTGTATGTTATTGTATTTTGGCAGTTTTATGCTGTTTGATGATTAATGTAATTAACTGTTTTAGTTATAATTCAACCTTAGGTAACTGAAATACTGCATCTTTTAATGTTTCTTCAACCTGCCACAAAAGTACAAGACTGATACCCTTTACTGAGGACTTTTTATTTTGATGCTCTATAGATGCATACCAAGTATGATCTCTCTTTTTCAAGGTTTTATTGTTTTCTATCAATACAAATGATTCTGCTGAACATGTTGAGAGGCCGATCACTAAATCCAAGTGTGTGTGCATGCAGCAAGTATGTCTGTTGGTGATAGATGGCGGTCTGGGGACCTGCTACTTCTGCAGAAATAAAAGACTCACTCTAAGGTCAGAAAAGGTTGTTTTTTTTTATCCTTGATGTTTCAATCCACTTTATTAATACCATATTTCATTTCTACCAAGTCTGTTTTGCTAAATACGTCTGAAAAACCACACATACTGCACCTTTAATGCTTTACAGTGACCAATATTTTCAGTCCATTTAAAATGAACAGTAAAAAATGAGTTTCCTTTTTAGTGTCTGGCAAAAGTTTGGCAGTTTTTACTTAATTTAAAGTTCAGTCTTTCATTTGGTCTGAGTGTTTTGTTTTAATAGTGATCTGACTTTGTGACTTTGGGTGTTAATTTAATATTTTTTGGGTAATGAGCCTTTCAGCATCCTCTGAAGTAAGCAGCAGATGGCGCCACAGACCAGCTCTAGTGTACAGTTTGGTTTTCATGACAAAGGTACAGAGGATTTTGTTCTCCAACTACCTGATCCAAACATTTACCCTCCAGTGTGTTTCACTGTTGCCCTGCAGGATGTTTATTGAAATCTCTGATTCGTCTGTGTCATGTGCATCCAATCCCTAAAAGCTGGATTCGTATCAAAAACATATGGGAAACAATCACAAATTCAGAGAGGTCAATAAAAAGCTCAAGCATCTGTTTTGTTCCATCAGCAACAAGCCAGTGGATGTGACACACAGCCAAGGGTCTTGACACTAAAATGGCTGTGGTGCTTTATTTTTAGATGCTGGCCTCTTGAGAAATTTACAAAGGACCAGAGCTAACCCCAAGGTGCTGCAGTGGCAGCTCTGTGCCGTGCATTTTAAACAGGGAGGGGCGGGGCGGTGGGGGGAGAAAGGGAACAACAGAGCAAGGGAAAAGAAGTTTGTCAGAGTTCATTAAGTATCAAGGGAACATCGCTGAAACTGGCAGAGTAAGCCGCGCCGGGGCCCTAGTGCCATTAATCACGACTGACAAGAAACCAGGGGCCGAGGGAGGAGGTGGTGGGAGGGAGGGAGGAGGGAAGGGAGGGCAGCTCTGCCAGAGACTCTGGTTGTGATTATAGAACAGAGTCCAAGCAGTCCAGGCCAGGGGTGTTGAAGGTAAAATACACCGCAGCCAAGACCGTAAAGTTCAGGTACCTCCACGCAGATCTCACTCACATAATCACACAGAGACTGACATGAAGTGCAGCTCCAGGCTTTGAAAACATGACAGGGTGACTGCAGAGGGAGAGGAATGTTTGGGTTTAGAGAAAAGTGAAGTGCTGTGCTGCCTGGATCTCTCCCTTTTGTGTATTTCACCCTCTCTCCCTCATTTATATGAGCCGAGCCTCTGGCTTAATAGCATGCAGGAGGAAGAGAGTGGAAGTGCGGCAGTAACAGAGTGTCGCCCATATATCTCTGTCGGCCTGCCTTATTTTCTCTCCTCACCCCCAGAAATGTGGAGCGGGCTCGCCACACTGCTGCCACCCTGGAAGAAGAAGAAATAAATGGGAGAGAGAAAGCGAGGGGAGAAAAGAAAGGAGAGAGCTCGTGACTCGTGAAGATGGAGGCCTCTGTTAAGTGCTGTGCTTGAAAGCCCGTCCGGCCTCATTAGCTGTCAGTTGTAACAATACTGAGCTGGCAGCGAAGACTGCTCCCAGTCTCGGTGCCATAAATCACAGGCTGACAGGGCCCTGACAGGGCTGGGAACCAACACACATGCAAGACTCGCTCGCTTTCTGTCTCTCTGCTGTTCCCTTTTCTTTCTTTTCTCTCCTACTTTTTCCACTGCTCATTCTTTTTCTTTATCGTCCCTTCACACTCTCATTTGTCTCCTTCTTTGTCAGTAACGCTCCCTTTCTTTCTCTCCCTTTTTTAACTCTCTCTTTTTCTTTCACAGACACTTACAGCACATTGCAGCATGTCAGCAGACAGTCAGGGACACATGTGCTCACATGAAAACACACTTTGCTTTTTGCAGCAGTATTTTCAGACGTCCTGTACGATGAGTGTGTCTGACAGGTTTGGAAAAGTCTGTGATTACTTCATGAATGAGCTGTCTGTGCCGGCTCGAGCGTATATGACTTTAGTGGAAGTATTTTGTTACAAGTACGACATTCAGCTGGTCGAGTGGATCCGACCCTTTCTGTCTAAAATGTCTCGATCGTAATCTAAGATCCATTTGAAGGTCTTATTTTGCTCTGAGTGAGTCACATGAAAAGCTGGAAGACTTCAAGTAAATATTTTCAAGCAGCTTCATTTACTTATTGAAGCTCTAACAAAGCCTTAGTTCCTGTTTCTAAACATTCAGATTATCTCCTCAGACATGAGGAAAAACAGAAGTTCAGTGTCACTTTGATTTTGCCAAACATGTTAATTCTTCTAGAGGCAAGAGTAAGTAAGCAGCTCGGCCTCACAGAGAGACGGCCCTGACCCCGCTTGAGAAAAATGTCACTACAGTGAATCAGAAATACGATTAAAACATCTTTTTTTAGAGGTCCAGGTGGACATCCTTTCATGTGGAGAGGGAAAGGGGAGTTTTACTCATGTGGTTTTTCTTTGACAGAAGAAAAATTGTCAGGAGGCGAGTAAAGGTATTCGTACCGGTTTCAGTGCCGGACTTTCAAGTTTTGTGTGCGCAGATGTGAGTCAACAAGAGTCTATGTGATACCTTGACCTCATTTTGGTCTTGAGTACATTAAAATATGAGCTTTTGAGGTGGATTTTATGGAGACCATGTGACAGGTTGCCAACAAGCTAACAGGTTATTTTCTTCTGTTTAGTTGCTGATGTTGATTGTTGACAGTTTGTTTTATTAAAGCTTCATTATGTAGCTTTTTGATGTTTATGAAATAGACTAAAAATGAACATTGACACCTTTTTAAGATTTACAAAAACAAACAAAACCATTAGCGACAGGATTGTTGATTTTTAATGGTACAAAGGGGGCAGGTGTCAGCTAGTAACCAGCCTTGTTTGTACAGGTTTCACTGAAAATACTCACTAGCTGACACATTTGACTGTTAAGAGTCATCAGGATTCATTTTTCTTTATTGTCTTAAGACACTTTAAGCTTGTAGAGGTCAAGCTTTGTCCACAGAGGGGCGCTGAAATGGACTCAAACCAAAGTTCCTTACAGGAGCTTTAAAAACAACTTATTTATCTGGTTTTAACACTCTGCGAATCTGATCATTTAATACTTTTTAATGATACATATTTTTGCAATTTAAAGCTCCTGTGAGGAACTCCTTTATCCTCTGGTGTCTTCTGATTTTGCTGACTTTGGACGATCAGCTGTATTGTTTTGTTATAATATGTGGAAATTGTAAATACAGGGCTGTGTCTTCAACTGCATGGCAGATACCTACCCCCTCATATTAGTTTAGGCATCAAAAACGATGATATAAACACCATCAATAATGTCCCTGATGGTCTTGTTTGCTTTTGGATATCACAAATTTAATTTCATTGTATTCTATAGATGTTTAAAAGCTCCTCACTGGAGCTTTAATTAAGAGTATTTCAACTCTTGGGCTCCTTTTGGTCCTAGACTGCAGTTTTTTTCTTCTTTTTTAATATATTATCTTTCTCTTTATCGTGTTTCATTTGCAAGACAGAAATGTGAGCAGG